AACTGGGATGAGGTAGAATCTTCATGTTGTTTTTATTTGCATTTCTTTTATGGCCAGAGATGTTGAAGAACATTGCTCCATGTGTCTATTGGCCATTCTTATTTCTTATTCAGAGAAGTCTCTTTTTGTCTTTAGCCCATTTTATTGATGGGGTTGTTGTTTCTTTGAGGATTTGTTTTGGGGGGGCTTAATTTTTTTGGGCTCTAAGTATATTTTAGATATGAGGCCCTGATGTGCATCTAGTAAAGGTTTTTTCCCAATCTGTGGGCTTTCTATTTGTCCTACTATGTCCTTTGTCATGTAAAGGTCTTCAGCTTAATGCAATCCCATCTATTCAGCCTTTCTTTGATTTGTTGTGTTTCTGGATCTTTACTTAGGACTAATTTCCTCTTTGAAACCCAGATTTCTTTTTTTTTCTTTTTGCAGAGATCTCTGGCACTCTATTAAACCCAGGACTTTGTGCTTTCTAGGCAGTGTTCTACCACTGACCTACATACATCCTAATCCTCTGGTCCAGACTGTTCCCTGGGTCTTCAAACCAATATCCACTCAGACTACAGTCCATCTGTCTACATGTGGACAGTCCAGAAGAAGGCAAGTAAAATCAATGTAACTATGTTCAAAATTGGATCCTTTCCATTGTGTGTCCAAAATCATCTATCCCTCTTAGATTCATCATCCCCTCTCCCTATGCTTTGCTCTACCCTTGGGTCACCCTTATTTCTGAGAATGAGTAACAAAGCCCATGAAACTCATCTCCAATTACCACCAGAAAACTGGAAGTGGCACTGTGGCTCAAAGTGGTAGAGCAGTAGCCTTAAGCTAAGAGCTCAAGGACAGAACCCAGGTTCTGAGTTCAAGTCCCATGACTGACCAAAAAACAAAAACCAAAACCAAAAACCAAAACCAAAAAAAACCCCTGTTGCTTTAAAGAAAATTTCTGAATTCTTTCACAGATGCCTGGTAGACTCTGAACTTTCAATTCAAAAGGATTAAGCACTATCTGAATAGAATACACATTGGAACACATTACAACTGGGGTTTTCTCAAATATTTTATTGAGGTAACTTTTCCCAATTTTATACACATATATATGCATTTATATGTACTTAGGAAAGCTAAACAATGTTCTAAGGCACTTGGAATTGTGCACAGCAAAGTATCCTATTATATTATACCACTAGATAGAGCACGAGTTTGCTTCTTAAATAACACAAACACCAATATGAAATAAAAAAGATAATACATAGTCTTTCTTTCAGGTTACAATAGTGGAATACATATACATACGTGTGTTTACTGGTAGATATTTATACGTACATACTATAATACAGTACAGATTAAGGACAACATAAAGAAAAAGTGTCAGGTTAATCAGTGTATAGTTCCAGTTATTTACACACACAGATCTTCTACTGTGTCAGCTGCAGGACTCACTCACTCACTGGGAAGCAGGAATCATTAAGTTAATTTGATAATGCTCACAGTGAAACCATTTTAATTACTTTAACCAAAATGTGAAATAACAGAAAAATGCCAAGTGTCTATTATTTTAAAAACCACTCTTACGTAGAAAAAAAAGCCTAGCTTGAAGTTTTAGTAAGTATTTAACTTGTGAAATTGGTATAGAATGTTTGAACACATTGGCCCATTTCAAAGCCACATGGAAAAAATACTCAAAACAAAACAAAAAACACGAGTGCTTATCTTTGAAGTGAGGAAAGTGGTTTGACCCTCATTTCACTGATTTTTTTTCCAAATAGTAGCTAGTAATGCAGTAGCAACTTCTCATTGTGGAGATGCTCTACAAATGTAAAGATAAGTCCAATCACAAAAGCACCCAGCAAGGGAGAAGCCCTCAGACTGGCAAGTGGCACAAATATTCTTATTGGCATTTTAATATACCATAAAATGGACCTGAGGGTGGAGGGTAGAGTGGCATTCTGCCTCGTTGACTCGTTTCAATTTATTCTCGTTAAAAAAAATACTGCTGTTAAAAAAGCTTAAGAATTTTAAAGCACCATCTGTAAGTTTACGATTTGACCATCTTTATTAACTCTACGTTGCTCTGCCTTGAGGTTTTCCTTTTTAGGATTTTAATATTTCACACAATTACAGTGGCTAACTTAATTCCATTCACCTTACAAGAATTGAAGGTGCATTGATCAATCCGTTTCAGTGACAAAGAGAGACAGAGAAAGCACGCCTCTGTGTTTTTAGCACAGTTTAACCTTGCTTCACCTGGGTCAACTCATCTTGCTTTGTGTGTGACCAACTCTGCGACACGAATATGAACGAGCCCACAGTTTATCCACATTTCCAACATAATACAGAATTCATACATCTTCAAAAGGGTGGAACCACAGGACTGTATTTATACAGGAGAATTCAAATCTGTGTATGTGAATTAAGTCCTTCATTAGAAAGATAAATACAAAATTCTTTGAAACTGGGAGGAGTGTGTGGGGGGCAATATAACATTATGGGGTGACTTCCAAGAGCATTGAATTGTTTTAGGTGCATTATTATGAGTCACTATGGTTTAACTCTTGCAATAACCCTGATGATTGACAAGGACTATGACCAATAGGGTAGTTCTGAAGTAAACAAAACACACAAAACACCCAACTGCGTCATGTAGAAAATCTCTCCTTTAAGTATACACAGGCCAAGGGTGAGTCACTACACCTAATGCCCCCTATAATTGCCAGGACTGCTCAGTGAAAACTGCATGCTGGCAGAAGACTTGGAAAAGTGATGGTGGTCTGAGAAAAAGCAAGGAGGTGACACAAGGCTTGGGAAGTGGCACTTTTTCCTGCATTTTCTCAAATGGCAGCAGTTGGTACTCCGGTAGAGGGGTACTACCCTCCAATGGCGGTCATTTGAACAAGGAGGAAGGCTTTTAGGTTTGGTTTTCACAATGACTGGGGATGCTGCTGATGGTCAGTCACAGGGGCCTGGGATATTAAATGTTTGCCATGCATGGGGGCATTTCTGTACCACAAAAATCATTCTGGTCCAAATGCGGACAGCACCCCACTGAGAAGCACTGATCAACAGTACTTTGCTGATATGTGTAGCTGTGCTAGCAATGTGGCAAGCTAAATGACATTTTTGGTGTGGTGGTAGTGGTGGTGGTGGTGGTGGTGGTAGAGGTGGTGTGTGTGTGTTTGTGTGTGTAGTAAATCCTAGTGTAGCTTAAAATGGCCCTTTTTGGTAAAGATATTAGGTGGGAATAGCTATCACAGGATTTGTTTGCCAAAAAATCCAAAGTAGCCAATGGATTCTCTTAATTTGTGAAGACCCCCGACTTCAAAAAGCATAGATAGGCTATGCTTCAGCCGATTTCTTGAAATGCTAATGGTAGTTCACAGTTTCTAAGAGTTTAAGTTGGTTGATTATAAAGTAACTGGGAAGTGAAAATGAGAATAGTTTGAGGGGTTTCTACTACCTATGTTCCTACTAACCTTAGTCACTGTAGAGACTCAAATCCCTCTTTGAAAGTTGGGTTTGAACTATGTAGGGATGTGTTTTCTCTCAGGAAGATGTTCTATTGACTGGATGATTTGCTTTTGGCACTCTTCCCTTCTGGCACATAGTTGAATGCTGAAAGTTCATTTTGGTTTCTCACATACATTGTGTGTGTGTGTGTGTGTGTGTGTATGTGTGTATTCCACCAGGAAGTACACAGCAAATACTTTGTAACTGAGAGATTAACCAAGGAGCTAAGGGATAGTTTTGTAGACAAATGATACTAAAAAGTTTCTTGTATCAACATACTCTAAGGATTTGAGGAAATAAGGATCTGAGCATTTACTTTTACTATAAAGGTAGGCTTCACATCACTAGATTTTAGGAATGCCTGGACAATTCTGCTATATTGACCTAGATTCATTTCTCTTGTGTTAGCTGAAATCCATCTTACCGACACTGAGGAAAGTCCCTTATGAAACACACTGCTAGAACCACTTAAAATGCTAACAGGTGGATGAAAGTTCCGAGCAAGAGAGGAAGAAGGGGAAGTTTTCACTGTTAAAATGCACATGCAAGACTTACTTTCTCAATTGTGCATACAGTAGAAACTTTGAAACTTATGTTTGTCTGACTCTATGAAGTATTATAGGGTATTTATGAAGATATTCAGTACTAATTTTCTCCTCCTTCAAGTGTAAGCTGATATATATATATATATGTATATATACATATATATACATATATATATATATATATATATTTAACACTACTAAATATTTTTTAAGGTGCCAGTCAGTACTGAATGAACTGCAGGATGCAAAACCTGATGAGTTATGGATCTTAAGGATTTAACTCCTTTTGAAATTTGGTGATTTTCTTTTTGAAGGATGGATCCACTGCTTCTATACTTGCTATGACATTCGGAAGAGACAAGTGACTAGCCTTATTCTGACAATAAGAAGATGAAGATGAAACCAGAATGTCAGCCTTCCTGGGTAAGTCAAAGAGATAGAGGTGTTTGTTTTTTAATTCAGTTCTAACAGCTGTTCAAATGCCAGGACAGTTCCCTGAATTCTGTAGACCTCAGTTAAATCCTGTTTGGAATTAACATAGACTATAGTTAGTATATAAAATACAAGACACTTCAACAGACCAAAAAATATCAAACAAGCTACCTTAACTGAATGATGATCACCAGAGAACTAATTTTTTTGTATTGATTGATGAGGATGCTGATCAAACCCATTTAGCATATTCTTACTGTATTAATATTAATGAGCTTTCTCCCTGCTTTATTGTTTTTTAAAAGATGCCATTGGTCCCTCTGGTTTTTATACTCTGTCTAGTTCTTTCCTGGCTGAGACATTCCTGGAGAAGGGTTTATTTCCTTCCCTATCTGAGGGATTCAGACTTGGTCTATGTCAGTCTCACATTATATCTCATGTTAGTGAAAACCTGGAATTGGGTTACAACTGCAAGAGGAAAAGAAATCAGGGTTACAAGTATAATAGCTCAGTGAGAGAACATGTGCCAAACAGGAAAACAAAACCAAGTTGACCAATCTAATTTTTGCACACAGTCATTTTCTCCATAGAACAGAAGTGTAGTGGCTAGGTTGCAGAAACAATGGCAGTGAGTAGAGGTGTAACTGTAAAATAGGACTGGTCAGGTAGGAAATCAGAACCTTATTCTGTGAAATACAGTTTATCTCATGAGCCTTTAATTCTTGCTATTTTTTTTAATTAAAGGTTTATTGTAATAAAGTACCTGGTGACCCTAATTACTTATTTAAGCCAGCAGTGGTTAATTTCTTTTTTACTTTTAAACTTTTCTAACAAACAATTTGAAAGCTTTTCTAACATACAAGTTTTTCTACACCAAATGGAAGAAAGGTGTGGGTAGTTCATAAACCTAATATATTATGCAAGAAAAAACAATATATTAACATTCAACTTTTTATGCTGAATGAATCTCACTGGAAGGATTAAAAAATTGTATTTTATGCATTACTAGTGGGAAAAGACTGTTCTTTCCATCAACCAAACAGGAAGTTTCTTGACAAGTATCTTGAGTGACAAAATGATGTTAATGTATCACATTTACCATGAAACAGAGCTCTCATGATTAGAAATTGAAAAACTTCAAAGTTTATAAGGATAGAAGAAAAAAGCAAAGAAACACATTCCTTAGTATTTTTCTCAAGACACTAAAACAACAATAAAGTATTATACAAAAGAATATCTGTAAAAATAAACAAGAACAAAATAATTTTTTATAGCTGGAGTGAAACACAAGAACTGGGAATGTAGTTCAGTGGCAGAACTGTACTGCAAAACAATGAAACAAAGCAAAAATCCTCAGCCAGAGTCCGACCTATGGGACATGCACACACATTTTTTTCAAAGCCAAAGAATATCTTTATTAGTGAAATGGTGACACAGAAAGCAGGCTGATTTTATGAATGCATGCAACTGAGTGCACCAAGAGGTGTAAGAATACCAGTTACTTTTCTTCCTTAAAAAATGGTCCTGCCTTTTTATCATAAGTCACTTGGGGCTATTTTTTAACATCTAAATAGGAGAATCCAATTTTAAATGGTTCTTCAGAATGCTAATGAATGGGGGAGGAAAGCAGGAAGGGAAATATCAATTCACCCAACATTTAAAATGTTTACACTTTGGGACTGAAAGTAAGAAATCACAGTCTTTCCCATTCAGAACTAGAAACAATCCAGAAAATTCTATTCTAGCCTCTAAGAATGTTACATATCCTGGGCATTTTAGATAAAAGGGGTACCAAATGATTGTGAGAGAACAATGAAACACAAGCTAGTATTTACAGATCGGTAGAAGTATGTGGAAACTCTGCTTGGACTGGCAGAGAAGAGGACAATAGCAGAAGGATGCTGGTGTAAACAGTACTGACTGTAGCTCACTGGGGACCCAGCTGAACGCTCACCTGACTCGTCCTCTTGCATTGAAAGCAAATACTATATAAGATACGATCTGCAGGCTCTTCATATACAAGGTAAAGTTTTCCTCACACACAACTTACCCAAATTTACTGTGTTTTTAAAAAAACCCATATGGTTGATTTTAATAGCAGCAACCCAACTTTATATAAATGCAGCATTGAAAAAATACTAGGTCCTTTTCATTGTCCTTCAGAACTAACAGCCAGCAGCACTTATGTGTACCTGGCTTATACAAAGGGTCTCGTGATTGTCGATATGATCTTGCTTAGATCAAATAGAAACTTTTTGACTAGCTGCTTGACTCCAGATACTCAAGATAGGGTAAGCCCAAAAGATTTATTTGTGAAGTCTGTATCAGTTTTATAGGGTTACATTACATCTAACTGTATGCCCTGTCCTGCTATCCTGGTGGAGGGCCGAGTAGGAATAAGTATGTAAGAAATGTCAAGTGAATATAGCTGAGCTATGCAAAGCATGCAACAAAATTTCAATGAGCATGCTTGGTAAGAGTTGGTAGAAGCTTCTTGCATTTAAGAAAAAGAGGCATGAACACATTCAGACATATTTCTGGCAACTGGATTCACTGGCACAACATAAAATAATGGTACTATACTGTACCAACTTAATGGTGAGACAAGAATGTTCTAGCAAGTCTTGAAGGAATCTATATCAGTGGTTAGATTCCCAAATCGCTTAAGTTCTCAAATACCAAATGCCCGCTTCAAAAATACATTTGTGCTTTGCTTTTTCTTCATTAACATAATGAAATATTTTCTTTTTCTTTCTGATTTTCAACTCCCACCCATTGGCAGTGCCCAGCAATTGCAATCTTCATTTTTCTTTAAACTACACACTCCATACCATTTGGCTTTCTGGTATTAGGGAGCCAGTGATTGTCTTCTGCTCATTTTCTTCGATGAACACTCCTGATGAAGAACAGCTCATGTAACCAGAGTGTCTGTCCCTTACCATCAATTCACATTCTGGGCAGCAAGGCTAGTTGCACCTTTTCTGTTGCTTACGGACCCCATCTGGGTGATCCAGGAGAAGGATGCTTTCGAACAAAGCTGAGTTCCTTGGCCACAATTAAGCAGAAACACACACATTCACATCTCAGTGCAATATCAGGTTTTTCCAGAAGCAGGGCTTCCAGTAAGGATGATCAATCAATTTCCAAGCAGTCCCATACTTCATTATGGGCGATGGAACCTAGAGCAAAAACAGTTATGGTGAGTCCCTGGTATGTAGCATGCAGTCCAATGCACTGAACAAGGTACAGTCATGTTGATAGGAAAAGCCGCACTAGACGTTCCCTGACAGAATTACTGTGAATAGTTGTTGTCATAACAGAAGACTGTTAGACACATGATGTTGGAGAGTAGAGAGAATCACTTAAAAGATTCCTGACTGATACTCAGTTCAGAGAGCAAGCCAGACTAAATACTGCTATTTTTGTGGGTCACTTTCTCATTCATATTAAACGGAGTGAGATGTTACACCGATGGCTTTGGTTACACCTAGCCTGCAAATATAAAAGGCAGACAAAAATAGACAACCATTTTGTTAGCTTTAGCATCTTACCATCTCCTGCTGGTGACTCCAAATTAGCTTTTCCACATCTAGATTTGGAAATACTCACTGGGCATTTCTACCAGGATAGTCTACAAGTAACTTATAAAACATGTTACTAACTATACAACTTTAGTTAGTTAGCCTCCATTGGTACTTTCTCTCTTGTTCAATGGTTTTACTGTTTAAAGTATTAACTTCTAGAGTTGCAAGTCCTTTCTCATCTTTGTTCTTCCTTTCCCATGTATCATGAAATCCTGCCAGGACCGCTTGTCAGAACCATTAAAGCTTTCACGTCTAGTGCTGGCATTACTGTCACAATTTGCTTGCTAGCCAGAGGGCTGGCTTATTTTCCTTCCAAGAGGGTTCTTGAACATTCTTGCATTTGTGCAGCTTGTGCGTTTGAGCACACTGTCTCTTCTAACAATGCAGTTCCCTCACTCCATTTCCCATCTGTGCTTTCATTGTTAAGGTCAAGGTCAAGAGCCGTCTTCTCCAGTATGCTTTATGTGATCAAGCTCTTCAGCCCGCTCTGTGTTTCCACCTTTATGCAGCTCTGCTTAACCTCGCCAACTCTGTTTTCAAATTGCTTTCCCTGTCCCAGGCTCCATACCATCCCTAGCCTTTTCATTGTGAAATACAGATCCCACTTGGCCTGTTCAGAATTGTATTCTTTCCATTCTTTACAAAATATAGTTGTTTTTTTTTTTTTGTTTTGGTTTGGAGCTATGATTTAAAGCTCTTCAGTTTGTTTTCAACATACTGTCTTGTACATCTCATTGTGACAATGGTCATCCTGTATCCTTATTTCAGCATTTTGTTATTTCCCTTCTCCTCCCCAAATTAGAAAAATGTATATACAAAATGCAGAACAGTGGAATCAAATACAGTGATAACAGGGGTTGTACCATGGGGAAGAACACACAAAGAAACACACAAAAAAATCACTTTACAACTTTGCTGGGGGGGGCGGGGGGAGGTGTTGGAGTGGGAGAGGGGAGGGAGGAGTTGGGGAGTTAGGGGAGAAAAGGGATGGTAGGGGAAAAATAAAGGAGGGGGTAACAATGCTCGATACCTAATGGGCTCATTACCTTGCTCATGTAAGTGTAACCCCTCTGAACAGTATCTTTACAATAAAAAATATATATTAAGAAAAAAAAAGCCCTTCAGAATGGGGCTTACCATGTTTCTATCACTTCTCTTTAGTATGCAAATGCTAGTCATTAGCTCCCACAATGCTTTGTGTACACATTCTGTCTTCGACTCATCTTTTTTCCCATCTCTAGTTTGCAAGGTCTCATTCTCTGCGGTCCCTAAACTCTCTCATTTTCATCTCTTCAGGAAGCACAGAAGCCAATTGTGCTTCTGTGCTTCTGTAGTCTCTGGCACCTGCCAGCTACTTATCACATGCTCTTTGTGCAGGAACTTTGCTGCTAGACCAGGAGAAGATAAGAGAACACCATTCTCATTCACTTTTCCATATTCATGGCATGTACTATCTGGCACAAGGTTGTTCCTTCCCTTCCCTCCCCTTCCTTCCTTCCCTGCTTTCTTCCTTCCTTCCTTTTTTTTTTTTTTTTTAGCAGTACTGGGAGTTTTGAATTAAGAGTTATTTTATTGCTGGTGTTACTTGAGTCATACCTCCAGTCTTTTTTTTTTTTTTTTGGTGCTGATCCTCGGGCTTGAACTTGGGTCCTGGGCATGGTTCCTGAGATTCTTTTGCTCAAGGCTGGTGTTCTACTACTTGAACCACAGCATACTACTTCTGGCTTTTTCTGGGTATTTTATTAGAGATAAGAGTCTCATGGACTTTTCTGGGGGTGGTTTTGAACCTCAATCCTCAGATCTCAGCCTCATGAGTAGCTAGGATTACAGACATGAACCACCAGCACCCAGCTAGTCCTATTTTCTTTTTTTTTACTAGTTATTTTTAGGATAACATCTTGCTTCCTGCCCAGAAACATGACTGAACCATGACAGGCTGACTTTTATACTTGTTGTCACTGAAGTTACAGCACATGTTACCATATCTAGCTTCCTTCCAGGAAGACAGAATCTTACAGGCTTTTCTGCTCAGGCTAGCCTGGATTAACATGCTCTGCATCTCCGCCTTCCACAAGCTTTGGATGACAGGTGTGAGAACCACTGTGTCCAGCTATATACTAAGAAGTGGTGTGTTGAACTTTTGTACCTGGGCTGGCCTTGAACCATGATCCTTGCTTTCTTGGTAGGATGACAGGTGTGAGCTTCTGACACCCAGCCATGGTGTATCATTTCTTTTCCCCCACATGATATACATTTACAAAGTGTGACCATGTAAATTCAAGGAAAACTGAAAGATATAAGAAGAGACCAGATATGACTGGTCCTAAGTTAATTACTGCAGAAGCTGCCTGAGGGGTACATGGGATTTCTCACCTTCTGCTGCATGTTTGACTTCCCAAAAGTCAAAATAAAAAGAATATATAGTGAGCTTTCCCAAACTAGTATGTTGTGGTTAAAACAGGAGTATGTCCATAAATGCAGTGACATCCTTAGGTAGCGCCCCTCACTCAGGGACACTGTTGTGACACTCGGTCACACAAGCATTGCCTATATTGCAATACATAGATATAATATATTCCCAATGGAAGTGGGAGCCCCAGATCTCTGATGACACAAGACAAATGCCTTGTACCTGTGAAACACCCCCTCCCCCACCCCATCTAATTTAGCAGTGTAAATTTAGGCCTCTTCAATTTTGCTGAGCTTTGCACACCAAACATTCAATTCCACATCTTCAGATGTTCTTTGGTTCTGGATTCAAAGGTCAGATGTAGGGTAACCTGATACGAGGTGCTTTCTCTTCCTATTGGGAATGTCTATGGGGGGAAAGAAGGTAAATGAAAGATCTGGTTAAGCAAGGAGCAAGTAAAATTGTGCAGGGAAACCCAGCATTTTTCTGGATTGTAGTCTCCTTTTAGATTCACAAAACTAGCATGGACACTATGAAGAGGTTTTTCCTCTTTACAGGCACCATTTGCCCGGGGGGTTCTTTCAGGAGATAATTAGTATCTCTGGTTTGCACTAGAAGGAGACAGCAGAGCAGAGAGGTGACCAGTCAGTACTGTAGCTATACAATGATGTGCAGACCAAGACTGCACCGACTTATTTTTTAATTTATTTTGTAGTAGTGGGATTAAGCTCAGGGCCTTGTGCTTGCCAGGCAAGTGCTCTACCACTTAAGCTGATACCTCCCAGATCTTTTAGTTTGTTCATCAGATAGGGCCTCAAGCTAACTCTGCCCAGGCTGACCTTGAACTGCCATCTTCTTGTTTATGCATCCTGAATAGCTAGAGTTATAGGGGTGAGCCGCCATGCCTGGATTACAGCATCTTTTTATACAGACTGTGCAGATTTGGTCAACACGTGAAATTAGGCATCTTATCTTCATATTCAGCTCTAAAATTTTACAGTTGGAAGTACTAAAATGTGAATTATTATTAAATTTGTTACTATTCAGTGGTTTGCATTCATTTACCTTCTGGAAGGTTTGTCTGTGTGACCGAATGACAAGTTGGCTTTAGGCTTTGTCTGTGGAGCAATAAAGACTTACTCTGCCCTAAGGATAGTTAAACTGTCATCCCATCTTTTTCCAGAACTTTCTAGAGACTTAAATTTGAAAATACCTACATTTCTTACTCTTAAAACTAGAATGCTTTTCCACCCTTGTGATTCTCCTTCTGTTGAGAGGGAGTGAATGGGATAGGGGGCAAGAAAAAGCTATTTTTTAAATCACAGAATTCAGATGAGGACAACTATTTTCCTCAAGTTTCCCCACAAGTTACCTTGAAATATTGACTCAATTTTCTATCCATTCAATCTCATAATAAAAGAGTAAAATTACTCACAAATATAAAACTTCACTTCTCTGAACTTTCTCATTTGATATTTACTGAGATCCTCAATAATTCATTTCCCTTTTCTTTTAAAAAAGTTTCACTACTGTGGCTCACTGGCTTCTATTGAGCAAACCAAGAGTCTCCTAAACATAGCTGAGAACTCAGGCCATGAGCTGCCTGGGCCTTCTTAATACTGCGCACAGCTTGCAATATTTTCCAACTCTTCAAGTTTCTGTTGAGGTACAAGTAAATGGGGGTACCCAGGAAAGTCAGTACCACTACCTATCCAGCCTTCTTGCTCCTCTGTGGAGGACCTTCATGATTTTATATTGCAGTTCCAAGTACAGTCCCTCTGAGACCATTTTCTGATAAACCACACTTACCTAGGTTATCTATAAATCCATAGAGGATGATAATACCCAAACAGGTCAGAGAATAACATCATTGCTAAAGAAACTTCTATGTACGTGTATACGTGTAATAATTTCACATTTAAAACACGTGAAGAGAAAACAGTCTAATGTTTCTAAATCTGGAAAGGTGACAAGGAGTGAACAGGGCAAATAGTGACAGCTCCCTCCTATGTTGGCCTTTGCCACCCATTAACTAGCCAGGGCAAGCAATGTTATCAGCCTTTTGCATCTTCCAAAGAGACACCAACAAAGGAAGCTGTGTATGGGAATGGAATTTCAGTACTCCTTCATACCTCTCTATGTGGGAGCCCTCTCTGGGAAGTGGAAGGAGGAAAGTCCTAATCCATTTGTTACATGCCTTGAATCTACAGGGAGCACGGAGGTTTAGGGATAGCTTAAACGGTTCAAGGCAATAGAGTCTGCCACTAATTAGAAGGCAGTAGAGCTGCTGCGTAGCTAGGTTACATTTAAAGAGCTAGGTTATCCTTCACAGGCTGCTTACGTCCCCACCCCCAACAAGATGTTTGGATCTAAGAGTACTACTGTCTTTTACATGAGCAATAGCTCAGTGCAAAGCATCATCATAATTGTGTATTATTTTGATTAGGAACAGTACTCTTTACTCCAAACTTTTTCCTTTTAAAAGAACGGCTGAAAACATCTTGAAAAATCATAGCATGATTTTTATATCTCCAGAGCCAAAAATACTTCCCAGATGGAATGCAGTACTAATGATGTCAGATAAATTAATGGAAAATAGCAGTAGACATTTGCTTTATTGCCAAGTTCTGAAGACTACTAAAGGTATGTTTATTTTGGTGATATGAATATTTAATTTTTCCTGATTTGAAAAGACATTTTAAGAGGGCTAATCAATATGTATTTTTTGGAAATCTTTTGCAGTTTGCCCTTGATATTAGCTGTTATTCCCCAAAGCTTATCTACTTGCATCTATTAATACTTACTTCAATAATGAGGATATCAACACATTATTTTGTGGGACACATTAAGAATAATCTCAATTTCTCTAATGAATACAGAGAAATAGACATACAATTCTGAAAGCGAAAGAATATCCCATCAGATGTAAAAAGATCACCTACTCTATTAAATAATGTGACACAGGGATGAACGACCCTCTTATTAGAACATAATCAAGGATCCAGAAACTGGCCCATGTGTATGCTAAAAGAGAATTTTACATCTCGAGGAAGTAAATGGCGTTGAGACAATGAATCATATACAGAGAGTAGAGTTACTTTACTTTTTTGAATATATACAAATAAATGCCCAATGGATAAAATTCCTAAGAGTAAAGAAGCACATATAAAAGTGGAAAATGGTACTTTTATTTTTTTGGCCTTCTTCTGTAAGATACAAAATGATGCGGTAAAATATAAGAACATAGCTTTTGATATGTAAAAAAATGTAAACAGAAGATCATTAAAACAATTAATAAAGGAGAAAAATACAGTGACATATGTAGTCCAGGGTGAATAGCCATAATATCTAAGGAGGCTTTACTAATCATCTAAAAAAGAAAATCAGATGAAAAAATAAAGAATGAATGGTTAATAAAATGTGTTGTTCAATCTCATAGAAATCAGTGAGAGTACCATTGTTTATATTGTTCACTATCAATTTTTAGAATCTTTCCTTTAGAATGTGAATCTCTCAATCACTCCCCTAACTCAACTGTTAATGAGTCAGCCAGCACGTTCATACACATATATGTGCTCTTTTTGGAAGCTAACAGTAGTATGTTTAAAGAGTTATACATATCTCCAGATGGGTAGATAGATAGAGAGAGAGACAGATAGATAGACAGACAGACAGACAGACAGGTAGACAGAGACAGGTAGACAGATAGACAGATCTCTGCTGAGAATTCCACATAAATACTCGTACACCTACACAGATATAGGATTAAGGTAGCAGTCTTTTGATAATGAAAAGCTAATTTCCCCCATAAATATCCACTAGTCATGTCATAGTTCAGCAATTTATCAATGATACACTGTTTATATGTGTGAGAGAGGGTGTATATAAAAACGTATACATACTCAAACGTATACATTTGAAAACAGTCCAGATTTATGATCAGCATCAAACTTTTCCCAGTCTCACTTGTGAGAGTGCTACTATGGGCCTGAAAGGAGTGAAAAGGATTTTCATTTTTACTTTAAATACTGTAATTAAATATATAAATATGGATATATTTTGTTGTTGTTGTTGTTTTTGGTCATGGGGCCTGAACTCTGGGCCTGGGTGCAGTCCCTCAGCTCTACAGCTCAAGGCTGGCGCACTACCACTTGAGCCATAGCACCACTTCAAGCTTTTTCTCCTTATGTTATGCTGAGGAATCGAATACAGAGCCTCATGCATGCAAGGCAAGCAGTCTACCACTGAGCCACCTTCCTAGCCCCTAAATATATTATTTTGTATGTAAACACACATGTGTAAAAGAAATATCTCTAATTCCTACCTATCACCTAATTTTGTTGTATTTGTTCATAGACAGAAACAGTCAGAAAAGGATAAATATCTCCTTTTCATGAAAGGAGAACTTTCATAGCAATACATTGTTTTTAAATTGATTCTTTGCTGCTGCAATTTATTCTCACATCATGCTACCAAATGGAAACATGGTTATCGGAGACCCTGATTTTCAGGAAGGCAATGCAGAAGTAAATCTGTCCTGAATCACAGAGTAGGTGGAGTGGAGCCACAGCAGCTCTGGGATCAGGACACAAGGATATAGACACTTGCCATTTTCTCAATTGCCTGGAGGCCCCGACCAGTTCCGTCACCATAAATATCCTGCTACCTCGTTCTGATTTACTTCACTGAATAGTGCAACCTTAGGTGTCACATATTAGAAAGAACTTTCCCTGACCCACAAATGTTAGCAAGAATAGAAGTCTGGCTTGACAGGGCATGTGAGTGATCCAAGAGTAGATTATGATAGGATAAAGCCCTGAGTAAGAGAAAAATGATACCTTCTGGTTGGTGGAAGCCCTGCTCACAAATACAAACCAACAGCTAGGCTCTGGTGGTTCGTGTGTTTAATCACAATGGCTCAAAAGTCTGAGATCTGAGGATCCTGATTCAAAGCTAGCCCATGAGCCTCTTCTCTTCAATTAACCAGCCCCCAAAACTCAGAACTGGAGGTGTAAGTCAAGTGGTATGAGTGCCAGCTTGAGAGAACACAACAAAACAACAAAATACAACAAATAAGAGCATAAGGCGAGGCCCTGAGTTCAAGCACTAGTATTCGCAAAAAGGAAAAAAAATACAAACAAGATATAGAGAAAACGAACAGATGAAGAAAGAATATGCCTAAGATAAAGAGGTTTTATCTGTGTGCCGGGAATAGCTAGGGAGCATATTGTAATTACAGAGGCCTGCCGTGGAGTTTATAGATGGAGTCTGCTATTATCTAATGTTGGACTACTTTCTTTACCCATGATGACTTGCAGTCCCATATAGACCATTCCAGGAACCACTCCAAGGTCAGGTGAACCACATGCATGGCGCTGCCCTAGAGGCCACCTCTAGCTTAGGCATCAGTATTGGTTTTCTGAGAAGACATAGCATGGTCTTCCTCTTCTTGTGATCACTTGTGTTGGTATTATTTTTATCAATTTAATTTCTAAAGATCTGATTTCTGTGCACATTTCTAGGAACCTTCCTGTTATGATACAGTAAAGCACATACACCTGTGAGACTGAAATAAACAGAACAGCTGTCGAGTGTGTGTGTGTATGTGTGTGTGTGTGTGTGTGTGTGTATGGGGGGAGGAGGAGAAGCAGACAATGTGATCACTCAAGTCCTTTCTGGTTTTAGTACCAAAGCATGCTGGGAGGAAAAACAGCACGTTTATGAGTTGCTATGGTTATGATCTGAAGTGTCTTGTAAAGATTCATGTATTAAAAGTGTTTGTCTTCAGCTTGACCCTATTAGGAGGTGATGGGAACTTGAAGGAGGGGGCCTAATGGAAAGACTTTCGGTCATCGAAGTCGTACCCTTGAGAGGGGTTGTAGGCTTAGTCTCTTCCTCTTATTCTCACAAGATGAGTGGTTTTGCTGTTTATTGCTACCATGTGGTGCTGTCTCACCACAGGCCCCAAAGCAACAAGGCCAACTAACCATGGGCCAGAACCTCTAATGCCGTAAGCTCAAACAAATGCTTTTCTCTGTCTACCTTATCTCAGGTATTTGCTACTGTCACAGATCATTTGAGTAACAGCGTAGTGAGTTGTGGTACTGGTGAAAACTTGATTCCTATTTTAAGTTGCATCCTGTGAAAAGTCCATTTCCATCCTAAGTTCTGTCTGCCGAGCTCAGAGCAAAAACATAAGCACCCATGGTAATGATTACCAATATCTGTTCTGGGCACAGAACTTCAAGTTCAATGACATAGATGATTATCATATAATTAAATAAAATTATCTTTTCTCACTGATATCATTGACTTAGGTTACTGGTAAAAGGAAATAAGGATGAATGTCTATTAGGTAGTTCTGTTAAACAGTTTTCAAAGTCTTAATTGTGACAAGTTAGACTTACTACAAAAAGTACCATATCAAAGCCTTTTCAATGCATCTTATCTACCTACCTTGTAAACTGCCGACTCTCTTCGTGAACTTCCATTTCTGTGCTTTTAAATTCATTTAGTTCTTTCCTTATTGCTGCCTACACAGAGGGGAAAAAAAGACAAGTAGAATGATTATGTAGGTCGTGTATTTCCTGAGTCTTTACACCATTAGTGAAGCAGAATTTTTTTAAAAGAAATGTCTGAGAATAGGATTCCTAATTTCTACCAGGTAATAAATACAATATATTACAAGTTGGGCACCTCCACTCTGAAAACCTGAAATTAGAAATGCACCAGAATCTGGAAATTTTTCAGTGCTAATATGAGGTCACAAGTGGAAAATTCCACATGTGCCGTCATACAGCTGTTGCAAGGTGAAGGTACAGTAAATAATGCTGTGGAAAAATGACCTTCCGGCTATGCATATAAGGTGTACATAAAACACAAATGAACTTGCTTATACTGTCCTGGGGATCAGACCCAGGACCAGTCATGCCAGGTAAGTGCTCTACCACTGAGCTACACCCCTAGCCCCATACAAGAATTTTGGGCTCAGACTTAGCTCTCATCCCCACATCCCATTATGTATATGCAAATATACCCAAATCTGAAAATTATCCCCTATCGGCAACACTTTCAGGTGAGGGTGAATCAAGGTGTAAAGCCAAACTAAAAACTCCTTTGAACAACTAACTTATGCTTTTACAAGGTGAAAACTAGAACCTTGTGGTATTGAGGGAGAGGGCAGGGGGATAAGGGGAGATGGGTAGGTGAAGGGAGCGAGCAAGGGGTGGGCAAATGCAGTCAGCATATTCAATGTATATATGTAATAAGTGGGAGGATTGAAGGAATGGGTGGGGTTGGGACAGCCGGGGGAGAATGATGAAAAGGGGGTGACACGGATTAAGAGACATAGTACTCATAAACGGACATGTTGAGTTGTGACCCCTGAGTACAACAACTTAAAAGATAATCAAAAACTAAAATCGGGGTAGATTGCTTTCAGTAGTCTTTCACAAGGAGCAGAGAAGGCTAGACTCCTGGTCTGGATTTACTCACCTCCCCTCTCTCCCCTGCCACCTCCACGAGCCTAAGAAATTTTAGGGCAGGAACTTTCCGTGAAACAATATTACGTTCCCAGGAAACTTCTTCATTTGGTCCCACCAAAACAACATGGCTTTTGACTAGTTGCCGCAAAGCTACTAGAAAAGCAGTCGCGATTTATTCTTTAATATTGGAAGTCTAAACAGACAGAACTTAAAAATTTCAGTCCTTCACTTAAAGCTACCCAAGGAAAACATCAAATAGGACGCCTTCATATTTAAAGAACACATGACTCGTGCCATGTAAATTTTATGACCACAAAGAGATGCCTATGCTGCTGTTCAGAATGAGAAGCTGACACATTCAGCCACACATTAATCTTAGTGACCTATTAACAAATAGTGGCAGGATCATGCATAGCTTTTGGTTTCAGTTTTTGGCTTATTTTAAATACGTGTGTGTCTTTGGGTGTATACACATACAAATATGTATATGTGTCTTATGTATACTTATATAAACCATGACTGATAAAGAAAGTCCTATTCCAGGTTTGGCTACGTAATTAAAGACTAAGTAATTAAAAACTAGCTTTCTCTGAGACTTAGCTGACAGAACTACATTGGCATTATAAGTATTATCATTGAATTGGCTTCCATGGTCAGAGGCAGAAAATTGCTAGAATATTGAGTGAGATCTGCAATGCGGAGGGTGATCAGGTGGAAGGTGAGTAAGGAACTTGGGAGAAAGCAGTGCAATCAATGAGATGGCCACTGGAATGCTTGCCTTGTCTGCAGGTGTCAACCTGGCCCAGGGCTTGTCTGCCCGGCGGTCATAGTCAGGAGAATCGGTGACTTCCACATACTCATTAAATCTCAGGATCCTTCGAGCTTGGAGCTCCGCCACCGTGGGTCTCAGGCTGAGCTGTAGAAGGGTGGGTGGAAAAGATACATCAGTAAAACTGTTTATAGTCTTGTGGTGGCAAGTTTTTTCTTTTTTTCTTTTTTAACAGACAACACTTTAAAGTTATGGTTAAATAAGGTCACTTTCAAAAAAAAAAAAAGGCAGTGGTGTCTTGGGAATTTGTAACGAGAACTAGAAAGCAGCGTGGCCTCATTTTTAAGACTATAAAAATCGTCGTTGTTAGATAGGTCACTGTGTTTGGCAGTAACCATCCACGTTATGTTATTTTCCTCAACTTGCCAGCGCTGAGATGAAGGCCTGGCTGTCATCCCTAACACAGGCACACACAGTGACCCACACACAGCAGCACGCCTGCTCCAGCATGGCTGAATGATCAAGGAAAAAAACTGTGAAACTTTTAGAAACATGAATTAATTCCCGCTCCTAATCCTCATCCATGAAAGCTGTCCGCTCAGAAATGTCTTTTAAGACCTAGAAAGGTCTAGGAAGGGTGAGCCCGCAGCCTTCCTTGCCAGCAAAACAAGGATCCAGGACCCATGCTGGCAATGACCTTTAGCTCAGAAAGTCAACTTGCAGGACAGGAGAATGGGATAAGGAGGAAGAGTTGCTGGAGAACCATACCTCCTTGCCAACTTTCTGATATTCAGACCACTAGGGTTTATTCTTGTGGCCTTTGTCCCAATGCAATTTCCAATTATATTGAATCTAGCCAGTCCTTTGCTTTCCTTTCTTCGGCTAGTCTCAAGTTCAAAAGAGCCAACACAATGATGAGGGCTGAAAGCAAGATAGCCTCCTTGGTCGACAGGCATCAACATGCACTGCTATGTCAGATTACCTCATCCTGGCCCTTCCTCATTTGAGATGTCCTGGAGTATATACACACAGGTGGACAGACTTCCCTTTTACCCACAGGGCCCATATGTGCGTGTGCACACACACACACACAATATCCAGGCAAACTATTTCCTTTTTAGAGGAGATAGTAATTTGTATTTGCATGGGCTCAGAGATAGATGGTACATTGTGCATACATGCTCAGTAGTCAAAAGCAGTCTCTTTCTTGGTCCTCACTCTACTCCTGAGTAAAACCAGAGTGAAGCAAAGTCAACACTCTACTATTCAAACCATTCCAATCCAAGGATTCCCAGAAGCCTGAATCTGTACCTGGAGTCCACCTAAGTGGGCCTAGGGTAACTTCAGCCCTTTCTGTCTTCCCAGAGCCCTGGTAGCTAGGCAACCTAAGCATTCTGTTATATTCTTAGATGCTACCCATTCTATACTGCTGGATCCTTGCTGCATCTCTTGGGCAAGTGGAAATAAGGAGTAGCAGGGAGAGAAATCCTTGTGCTTTAAGGTCTGACCAGGTGGCAACCCCACAGGTCAGTGGCCACTGATTTCTGATCTGATAACAGATCAGCAATGCTCCACCCAGTCTTCCCCTCAGGACTATGCCAGTCATAGGGTAGATGCCAGAACTATAGATTCACATGGGTCATGGCAGGGAGGGCTCAACGGTGGGACAAGTAGGAGCAAGGGAGAAACAACAGGCACTGTTGAGTCATGGAGGAGCCCAAGTGGGTTGGGGAAAAGCTCAATGCACCCCAGGAGTGCCTCTGGAGCCAGGTAGAAGAGTACTGATGCTGCGAAGTCCCAGCTAGCCCTCAAAGATGTGGGTCAGGCCCCGGAAGCTGCGAAGTCCCAGCTAGCCCTCAAAAATGTGGGTCAGGCCCCGCGCGCTTGACTCTGGTCGTATTTTAGTCACCCCACCCTTTTTTCCCCAGGAATGAAAGGTATATCTGAAGAATTACTGCAAGGATTTATAATGAAAGTTAAAGACTGATAGTGCTTTATTTTTTCCAAAAGAATATTCTTTTGGCAGGGCTCTGGATGAGATTTATATTTTCATACAATGTGGAAACAATTGTCTGAGCAAATTTGTCAATTTGGGTAGCTCTGTGGCAGCCAAACTGGCTGATCAAGCTCACTTAATAAATTACTCCCACTTCTGATAGTGGTAAATCTTCAGTAGTCACAGGGTATTTATTTAATTTATCCGAGACTAAATGGAAAACGAGAACAGTTTAAAAGTTACTTTTTAAAAATGGAAATATATATTTATATAGAAATTTTAATAATTGTTCTCTGAATGGAAGATTTTTGGTGGTATTTTTTGTTTATTTTTGTATTTTTAAAGATTTTCACACAATGCATGAAAATCTTTTGAGTAATAACTTTCCACAGTTAACATAACATGCAAATAGAAAAAAGAACAGTTGTTTTGTTTATTTTTTAATGACTATGATTCTGTAGTAGTCACATGAGAATAATTATGCCTAAGTATTACATTCACATATAAAGTACAAATTTAAACAAACCAACAAAGTTTATTTCAGAGCATTCAGAATGGCATTACCTTCCGGCTAAGTCTACGTTTAAGTTCCATTTTTGCTTCTTGCTCCTCTTCTTCATTCTTTTCTGTTTGTTTTTGGAGAAAAAGCACAACAACTTAATTACTAGAGAGAAATTTCATCATCAGAAATGCCCATCAGATCACAGGTACTTGATTCTAATACTGATCAAACATCCTATTAATGTCTTTAAAAGTTATTGTTAAGAGCTGCGTGGCTCATGTCTGTAATTCTAGCTTCTCGGAAGGGTGCTAGCTGAGAATATTGGTCCAAAGCCCGCCTAGGCTGAAAAGCTCTCTTTTCCAATTAACTAGAAAAATGCCAGACTGGAGGCAAGGCTCAAGGGGTAGGACACCAGTTGAGCAAAACAGCTGAGTATGAGGCTCTGAGTTCAAATCCAAGTACTGTCAAAAAAATTGTTATCTAACCAGATTGTTCCCCTAAAGTTATGACAATGATAAGATCCAAAACTGGGATACTGACAGCCAGGCCACACCTGTAACTGGGAATGTCTAGGTGAACCTTTCACTCCTTGCTTCTGGTTCTTTGTCTGTTTAAATCTATAGCTCATGTCTGTACCCTGAAGATGGATGACAATGGGCTCTACTGATTACCTCTTACTAGAGCTGCCCCTGTTGCGTAATAAACCTGCCTTTCAAAAGAAAAACTAGGTTATGAAGACTTTGCAAAGCCAGGTGGTAGTATGCATGACTATGATCCCTGGTACACAGAAAGTGAGAAGGAGATAGGGTCTTAGTCTAGGATCCACCCTTGGCAAAAGCACAAGACCCTATCCATAAAAATAATGAGAGCAAAAAGGGTTTGAAGCATGGCTCAAGTGGTAGAGCACTTGGCTAGCGAATGTAAGACAAGATTACCCAGAAAGGTCAGTCAGTCATATTTGTACATGTAAATCCTTTCTATAAGTGTGTGTGTGTGTGTGTGTGTGTGTGTGTGTGTGTGTGTGTGCGTGCGCGCGCGCGCGGGGTGACTGCCTTCTTGCATAATTGTTTTACTTTAGTAATTTTAAATCTTTCTGTTTCCCGACCGCATGCTCTATTCTGAATAAAGATGGACAAGAAACTGTCCATATACTGTTCAAAGATGTCTATTGGTGATCATCGCATGGGCTTTACAGGCATGATTTACCAGAATTCAGATGAAATTTTACTTGGGGATCTGGCCTGCATGTGAAGAATCTGAGACATATTAAAAGAGCAAAAAGAGCAAATGAGAACCATCCGATGCATGTCTGAGCTGCTGAGTTCCATTCAAACCCAACCAAAATATTTGATTTGTCTTCCTTGGTTCCCATAGAAGCCGAATGTAAACATTTCTTTGAATTTGGCTTTGAAACCAGAATGTTCTGAATGGGGTTATGGTGTACTGTGGGTAGAAATTATTTATTTTCTTGTGACTTTAACTTTCCTAAGTCTTCTTTTTCCTTAGTGCTTCACCAAGTTGTACAATTGGGTGCTGTGCAACAGATGGAATTTTAAAAAAGGAAACAAACACCCCTTCAGGTTTTATTGGTTGCTTAGTTGAAGAACGTGTGTACATTGCTTCTTGTACCTTTTCTGTTCTATAAAGTGAGGATAGACTTTAATTCTTAAGATACCAATGCTTATGAAAATTATCTTCCAGTGTGGCAAGGAATTTTACTGAGGGGAAATCATGCTGTGGAAGGGATTAATGAAAGAAAAATCTCTTCTATGGCAAGATAATTATAAGTATTTTAAAAATTCAAGTAATGCAGGGGTGCAAATGATTAAAATACACCACAGGACAAGAGGCAGATGACGTGTCACACAAGTGTGTCACACACACTTGTTTATAATTTAGATTTTGTTTGTTTTGACACAGGGCTTACAATGTAGCCCAGGCTGACCATAGAAACAGGTTTTCCAGCCTTAGCCTGCCTAGTACTGGCCCCACAGGTGTGAGGCAATGCACCTGATCTCAGATTTTTCCGTGTGTGTGTGTGTGTGTGTGTGTGTGTGTGTGTGTGTGTGTGTGTGTATGTGTGTATTTGTCTTTTCACACCCTTCAATATATGACCAAGGTTCAAGTAATTGACATATATGAATTAGACAAAGCTTGTAGATGGTTAGGTTTACATAATGGATAAATGCCAAAATTGGGGTTTATATGATTAAAACTGGATGGTGGGGATATTAATAATAAAAAAATCACTGAAATATTTTAGTTAATTCTTCCTGTACAGCTGTTATGCTGGGTTTGTTTATTTTTGCAGTCATGGGTCTTGAGCTCAGGTCTGGGGTGATGCCCTTGAGCTTTTTCATTCAAAGCTAGTGCTCTACCACTTTGAGCCACAGCTCTACTTCTGGTTAATTGGAGATAAAAGTTTTTCTGCCTGGGCTGGCTTTGAACCATGATCCTCTGATCTCAGCCTCCTGAGTAGGTAAGATTTCTGCCTGGGCACCTGGGTGTTATGCTGTATTTTAAGGGTAATTTCAAACAAAACAAGTTAGATATCTAATATATTTCAAAGCTAACACATGTTACATTGTTCATTTCTGCAAAGGGAATATAGTTTTGCCTTATTAAGCCATTGTTCAACAAGGTGACAGCCAGTGACCTTTCAAAACAGAAGGGTCAACTGCAGTAGGAAGTTGAATTCCTTATATTTCTCATGTTCAAAACCATACTTCTAAGGAAGATAGAGGAAGAGAGATAAGGTGGATAGAAGCCCCCAAAATGGCTCCTTGGCATCTTATTAAAGAACAAATATAACATATAACAAATATAACAGTCAAGGTCCAGCAGTATCAACAATGGGAGTTCTATTCTATTGTATTCTATTCATTAATGTGTGTCAGCATGTATGTATTTTGGTGGTATTTGGGTTTGAACTCAGGGCTTGGATTTGTGAGGCAGGTGCTTTATCATTTGCACAATGCCCTAGGCCTGTATTATATATTCCTGAGTTATCAATTTGGAAAAAATGGATTAAAAAGAGCCACACATGTATGTATATGTGTAAACATAGCAGTACTAGGGCTTGAACCCATGGCCACACTCTTGTTAGACATTCTCTCTACTCCTTTACCATATCCTCAGCTCTTTTTCTTTTTTTTTTTTTTTTGCTTCAGATACTTTTTGGATAAGATCTTTTATTTTCCCCCTGGGCTAATCTTGAACTAATGTACCTACCTATGCATCCTACATAGCCAGGATTGCAGGAAGTAGCCACCATTCCCAGCTTTTTGGTTGAGATAGGATTTCAGACTTTTGCCTTGTGCTACCATGATGACATGCTGTATTTTTTGAGGGTACATGTACTACACGTACCCAGGTGGATATTTTCTTTTCTTTTCTTTTTTTTTTTTGGGGTCCGGTCGTGAGGCCTGAACTCTGGGCCTGGGCGCTGTCTCTCAGCTCTTCAGCTCAAGGCCAGCGCTCTAACACTTGAGCCACAGCGCCACTTCTGGCTTTTTTCTTTTTGCTTATGTGGTGCTGAGGAATCGAACCCAGGGCCTCAGGCATGCAAGGCAAGCGCTCTACCACTGAGCCATCTTCCCAGCCCCCCAGGTGGATATTTTCAACAAATGTCAACACACATGTAAGTCGACATCTATGTATTGACAAAATCTGGGTCAACATATGGTTAGTCAGATGTTTTTTTTTTTTTTTTTTTGGTCGGTCGTGGGGCTTGAACTCTGGGCCTGGGCGCTGTCCCTCAGCTCTTCAGCTCAAGGCGAGCACTCTACCACTTGAGCTACAGCGCCACTTCCGGTTTTCTGGTGGTTTATTGGAGATAGGAGTCTCACGGTCTCTCCTGCCCGGGCTGGCTTTGAACCACGATCCTCAGATCTCAGCCTCCTGAGTAGCTAGGATTACAGGCGTGAGCCACCAGCGCCCGGCGGTTAGTCAGATGTTGAAGCAAGAAGTCAACAGATAATAGATGGCAGACATATTGATGTTCATTGTAAAACTCCAACTTTTCTGCATGTTGAAAACATTTCAAGTTGCGTATGGTATCACGTACCTGAATCTCAACAGTGGGAAGGCTGAGGCTAGAGGAACAGGAGGTTCAAAGCCAGCTTGGGCTATAATAGTGAGTTCAAGGACAACCTCAGCTCAATCAACATAGAGAACTCAAGCTTGGAGGACATTCACAACTAAGTATTGTGAGGGAACCTACATTTTATCTCAATCTCTGAAATGGAAGACATTCCATAAACACTACTTGTATTGTTTAGCAGAAGTTGACCTTTCAAGCATCAAATCCTTATTTTTTAAATGCCTCCTCTTTTTCCTCTTCCTCCTTCCCCTCCTCCTTCTTGTTGGTTGTGGGGCTTGAACTCAGGACCTGAGCCCTGTCCCTGAGCTCTTTCATTCAAAGCTAGTGCTCTATCACTTTGGGCTACAGCTCCTTGTCTGATTTTCTGGCAGTTAATTAGAGATAAAGAGTCTCATAGACTTTCCTGCCCAAACTGGCTTTGAACTGTGATCCTCACATCTCAGCCTCCTGAGTAGATAGGATTAAAGGTGTGAGCCACCAATACCTGGTGGTCCTTTTAAAGTCTTACTTTGAAGGAACTAGTTCTACAATGCACAATGATATATACCTTAGTACATCTATATTTTTTAATAAACTATAGTGACACCAAAATGAGAACAAAATCAACTGAAGAGTAACATGGGTAAAGATAGAAACACAATTTGTGCCACGGTTCCCACTGAAAGCTACAGCTGTCTTTCCTTCCTTCCTTCCTTCCTTCCTTTCTTTCCTTCCTCTCTTTCTTCCTTTCTTCCTTCCTTTCTCTCTTCCTTCCTTCCTCTCTTCCTTCCTTCCTTCCTTCCTTCCTTCTTTCCTTCCCTGTTTATTAAAGCAGGGACAGGTTCTGATTGAGAACTGTTGAATGAAACTAAGAAACTATGACTCAGTTTCTTAGTCTGTAATAAAAAGATCACCCACTGGAAAAAAAAAAAAAACCTGGCCTTAAAAACTATATCTTATCACACATTTTCTCCAGATAGACAATTATGCTGTTCTAAACAAAAACATGATTATGTGGGAAAATCAAAGCCAGAGGGGCTGAGTAAAGTGTTTGTCAGCTACACCATTCAGCTCCCTGTGCTGTAGGGTGGGAAGCCGGGGCAGGGGGATGGAGGATGTGGGGAGTCAGGAGAGTCTCCACCGTAGTCTGCTTGCCTTGGCCAGGCAGTCTTGTGTCAGGAGATCACAAGCCATTATCAGAGTCTCCAGACTGGAAACATGTCTTCGTTTCCAGAATCAACATGAACTTAGAAGGAAGTACATAAAGTGTTGGAGTCAAATCTGAAGTTGACTTTGGTATTTCACTCTTTCCCAAACCTCCAGGAAAACAGAGGGTACAAAAGCCAACACAGCACTTAAGATCAACATGTAATAAATTTCCGGATCCCTGACACAGTTCCTCAAATAACCAAACTCCAGTGTGGTTTGGCACATTCATCTCACAGGAGCAAGAGAGAATTATCTAGAAATTTTTCAGTCTCTCTTCCCCCTCCTCCCCACAACCCCACCTAAGGATTGCATCAGGCATCCAAGAAGACATAATCTCTGAGTTTTAGGAACTTTTAGAGTCTGCATTGAAGTCAACTTAAAATTCAACAGATATTTCCCAGGAATCTGTGATTGAAAGCAATGAAAATTTGGGGTTTTGTGATCAAAATAAGATGTTGCTATCAACAACCCTTAGAAAAACACAAAAATTTACTTCTTTTCTAGCCATGACTCCCCCACCCCCCACCCCTTTCAAATGGACACTCACATTTCTAGGCACTCAAGTCCTTTCTTGGGTTCTACTACAGTGATACAAATGGTCAGGAAAAAAAAAAAAAGCATTGTTAAGGACAAAGATCTCATAGACTGCATTCCATTTACAGTTAAATCTTCATTGTTGGTTGCTTTAGTTATGACAACTGTAGTCTAAATATCCTAGGAAAATCTTTCTTTCCTTCAGGAAAGAAAATAACTCAGGCTGAAGAGCTAGGGTCATCAGCAGGCCAACTCCAAGCCAGGCTGGAAAGATCGCTCCCCTCTCCCCGCCCCCCAAGGCTTATTTCTATGTAGTACTCTCCCAGATCTGCTTATTTCTGTTCTTTGATATTTCATGCACTAAAAACCTCTTTTGAAACTGGATTAATACATAAAAGTACAGTAAGGCTCTACTTAAAAAAATGTCCATTTCTTGCTGAAGTCAGTTAACATTTCTGATAAATAACAGCAGGGGGGGGGAAACCCTTGGATTTCTATGTGGGTTTTCCATACAGCCCTGGCAAAGAGACTAGAAGAAAAAATAGAATGGAAAAAATCAAGTAGGAAAAAATGAGCTGAAGAACCAAAGAACTGTAAGTGAAAGGAACACAGAATGATCACAAATAAGAAAATGAAATATATTGAAAAATGTTTACCATAATGTTGTGTTAAATTGAGTAGTTTGTCCAACTTAGCAACAAACTTTTGTGATTAATAATAATATAGGGATGTCTGATTTCCTGTGAGTCTTTGGCATTTATTTGCAAGTAGACGAGCATTTTCTTAAATATGTGGGTGAAAGAAAACTAGGGAATATATTTCATCTTTCTCAAAAATAATTGTTAAACAGCTGTAGTCTGGGGATAGATGACACTATGTAATATTTTTTTTTCTGGTACTCAGGGCCTGGGTGCTGTTCCTTAGAATTTTTTGCTCAAGGCTTCTGCGCTACCACTTGAGCTACAATTCTATGTCCAGCTTTTTGCTGGTTACTTGGAGATGAGTCTCATAGCCTTTCCTATCCAGACTGGCTTTGAACCTTGATTGTTGTATCTCAGCCTCCTTAATAGCTAGGATTACAGGTGTGAGCGACAAGTACCCAGCAAGAAATTATTTTTAAATAACAAACAACTATATATATATAGCTATAACGTAAACAGACTATTCCAGTCAGTTATGACTGAAGGCCGGCCTAGCTGTGAGGCGGCTTGTTTATGGACCCACCAGGCAATGCATACCAAGGACACTCACGTTTTAGGATATTTCTTTGCTCTAATTCTTCAGTGGTTGGCCTCTGGCTGAGTCTCCTATAATGACAAAAAGAATAGTTTACAAACAAAGCTTCTTTAGTGGGAAATACCAAATCAAACAATAAAGCCAGACCCATTCATTAAATACACAAACTTCCTTCCTTAGCATCATTTTGGTGACTCCAGATTGTGGCTTGGAAGGACAGCAATCCCCCACACTCCATTCTATTTCTTTCTCTTTGAGACAGAACTGTGTGTCTATCACTTGGGACCTGGCTACAGACCTCAGCTTCCCCAGTAGTCAAGCAGATGGTGTAATGGTTTTTACAATGGCATGTGAGAAGAGTTGCATTTTAAGTTCTGCTTGCTTGTTACCCTTCAAATGAATGAGTGGCTGGGTGCTAGTGGCTCACACCTGTAATCCTAGCTACTCAGCTCCTGAGATCTGAGGGCTGCAGTTTGGAGCCAGCTGGGGAAGGAAAGACTCTTATCTCCTCTAATCTACGAAAAACAAAAAAACAAAAACTTGAAGTGGAGTTCTGGCTCAAGTGGTAGAGTGCTAGCCTGGAGCAAAAGAAGTTCAGGGACAGTGCCAGGCCCTGAGTTCAAGCTCCAGGATGGCACCAAAAAATGACTTGAGTGTAATCTCTTTGTTCCCTTTCCTTTTCAAGCCATGCACGCAGTTGGGACTATCCAAGGGACATCATCATCATCATCATCATCATCATCGTTATCATATGTTGGCAGTACTGGCATTTGAACTCAGAGCCTTGTATTTGCTAGAACGGCATATTCTGCAACTTGAGCCACACTTATAGCCTTGTTTTGCTTTATTTTTCCAGGAAGAGTCTCAAGGTTTTTGCTTAGGGCTGGGCTTGGACCACGATCCTCCTACTTATAGCTCCTGTATATTTTGGATTACAGGTGAGATCTACTACTGCCAACTTGTTTGTTGTGATAAAGACTCCCTAACTTTTTACCTAGGGTGGCCTCTAATCTTAGTCCTCCCAAGTGGTCGAGATTACAGGCATGATTCACTGTGTCCAGCCTGCCATTCTTTTTATTTTTTCTGATTGTGGGGCTTGAACTCGGGGCCTGGGCACTGTCCCTGAGGCTCTTTGTGCTCAAGGCTAGCACTCTACCACTTGAGCCATAGCACCACTTGTGGTTTTTGAGTGCTTAACTGGAGATGAGGGTCTCATGAGGATTTTTCTACCTGGGCTGACTTCAAACCACCATCCTCAGAGCTCAGCCTCCTGAGTAGCTAGGATTACAGGCATGAGCCATCGGCCTGTAGACATTATTCTTGTATATAAATACCATTCAGTGATTTAATTTCTTCATAGCAAAACAAACAATAGCAATAAAACAAACACTCCAACAAATCCTATAAACACATATTCTCTTAGATAGTATAAAATCCTATAAGCACATATTCTCTTAGATAGTATAAAAAGTACAAAGCAGGAGACACGGTAAGAGAAAGATTAGGCAGAAATCCCATGAACAGTAATTCTAATCTGGTTTTGCTACGAAGAAACTATGTGGCCTTCAGAAATCTTCTTCCTCTCCTTGAGCTAGTAAACTGCACCAGAGACCATCTGGTTAGCCAAACCTAGCATACGCACTAACTGGTCCTCTGTAGAAAGTTTGTTGGGCCTAGCCTGAGCGAGACCTTTAGAGATCTCAAAGCCACTGGCTGGCAGAGAATTCACACCTCAAAAGGGGATGGGTTTTTGACTGATTCACCATACAAAACTAACTTTAAAAGACCAGATGGGGGGGCTGGGAAGGTGGCTCAGTGGTAGAGCGCTTGCTTTGCATGCATGAGGCCCTGGGTTCGATTCCCCAGCACCACATAAGCAAAAAAAAAAAAAAAAAAAAGACCAGATGGGCTGCTATGTCCGTAACTTCCCCCAAATTCACTTGATCTCAGGTAGGTTGTACACTTCAGGAGGGAGGCAGGTACAAATCAGTCAGTCCTGCTTACCACACCAGCAATTACCTGACCAGCTTGGTTCCGATTTGATGCCGGATTTCCTGCCTCTCTTCTTCAGATGTACGCTGTAAGATGTTTTTGTCTTCTAACTCTTTCTTGGATGGTCTGTTGCCAAGTTTGATAGCAAGAGTATCCCTCCGCCGGATCTTACTTGCCAAAGTACCTGAGGATTGAAACCAGGTGAGGGATGCAGATAAAGCAGCCATTAGCGAGTGTGTTCAGGTTACACTCTACTTTAAAGAGGGTGCAGGCTAAATTCTTCATCCACATATGAGAGGGCAATTCTAATTAACCAAGGGGGGAAAAAAGATTTCAACTTGGATGTAGTTCATTCTGAGAAGCCTCATGAACTATTTTTTTTAAAATGTTCTGGGAAAATATTGGGACACCATGAAAAAACTTGGAAGTCTATAAGCTCAATACTTGGAAACAGATAGCTGAAGAGATACGGTGGTATTTTGCTGATACGGTGGGTAATGGAAATTAGTGATTGCACAATGCTTTTCCTGCCTTTTCTTTTTCAAGTTAACACAAATTTTATTTGTTCTGTACAGTTAATCCCTGTCATCCTCTGTGCTGCATTCATGTTGGCAAAGAGTCTAGCATGTACACAAATGTTGTAACCTTCAATTACCCATGGACCCTTAAATCTCAGCAGATGAGAGCTCATACCAGATGGATGACATAATTTTGCTTTTTTTCATCCTCTATACAAATCAGAGGGAATTTGACAAACTTCTGTTTAATCATGAGTGCAACAAAAATTTTTCTTTTTTTTTTATAGTCCCCCACTTCTTTTTCCTCTCCCTTTTTCCAAACAGTGTTTTATGGTTCCATTATGCTTTCTTCATGTGTACATGTGTGTATAACTTTGGTCATCTTGACCCAATTTTTTGACTTAACATTTTTAAATATATATGCATTCATAATATATAAATATATATGCATTTTCATAATCTATAAATTCAATCCCGTGGTGAATTCCTCCCAAGTCACCTTGCTCAGAGGTTTTAAAAAATAACCACACATTCTAGTTCTTTAAGCTGAACATAAATGGCAGCATTGACTTTCTTTTATGCAGGCATGCTCCCTATTCTACCTTTCCCTGATGTGTTGAATGAGTGTTTTTAAGTCTAAAAAGCTACTTGCCATTCATTCATTCCTCCCTCTTCTTTATGAAAACTGCTGTATAGAAGTAAGTGAAATTCTCACACACTTAGATGAACAAGCCAGTGTACCCTGCCTTGATGCTGTTTCTTCAACAACAGTCCCAGGAGGGAAGGGGCATCTCTGATCTGACAAAGGTACTTCTCATTAGAAAGCCTTGGTATAAACACAAAGGTGCCCATGTAGTTCCCGGATGAAGGCCACAGCCATCCCTTGGCATCATCATCCACAAAGGCTTGTCATCATAGCTAAACTTTAGGATCGCCATACATCTACTGTGAGAAAGAAAGCCAAGAGAAGAAAAACACCAGCTGTCTGGTAGCTCAAGAAATCTGTGCTCTTTGTAACATGCAGCTGCCTCTGTCCACCATCCACTCCCCTTCCCACCTCCGGCAAACAGTCTTACTTTCTCCACTGCCATCATCATCCTCATCCTCTTCCTCATCATCATCTGTGTACAAGATGGGGCCATCTGAATCAGAGTCGGTGGCCTGGTACTCCTGTGGGCCATCTTCCTCTGAGGATTCTCCCATCAGTCCAGGGGCCAGCAGCTGAGGTCCTGCCTTCTCCATCTCATCTTTGGTCATAAAACTGGGAAAGGCACAGAAACAGAGGGGTGATGCGAAGCTCAGAGCCACCCGAGGGGGCGCCAACATCGTAAAAGGAGCTTCCAGTGCCACACAGGCACTGCTCAGGCTGGGGGAAAGCAGAAGCTGGACAGAGGGCGTTGTGCATATATTCCACATTCTGTGTATCCGTTCACGAGTCACAATCCTACATGTGAGCTCTTTCCATTTTGTGGCTATAGTAAATAGTATTGCTAAGAACCCAGGCATACAAATTCAATTCTTTAGGCTAATATACACAGAGGGCATAATTCTGTGTTTGTGTGTGTGTGTGTGTGTGTGTGTGTGTGCACGCACACACATACTAGTCCTAAGGCTTGAACTCAGGGCCTGGAAGCTTCTCCTGTGCTTTTGTGCTCAACACTAGTGCTCTACCACTTGATCCACGGAACTACATCCAACTTTGGTGGTTATCCAGAGATAGAGTCTCATGGGGCTGGGAAGGTGGCTCAGTGGTAGAGTGCTTGCCTTGCATGCATGAGGCTCTCAGTTCGATTCCTCAGCACCATATAAGCAGAAAAAAAGTCGGAAGTGGTGCTGTGACTCAAGTAGTAGAGCGCTAGCCTGGACTGAAGAGCTGAGGGACAGCGCCCACGACCGGACCTCCCCACCCCCCCCCCCCGCCCCCCGCCAAAAAAAAAAAAAAAAGAGTCTCATGGACTTTCGTGCCCAGACTGGCTTCAAACCACAACCCTCAGATCTCAGCCTCCTGAATGATTACAGGCGTGAGCCACTGGCAACTGGTTTCTATGTTTAATTTTTTTGAGAAGCCACTATACTTTTCCCTAAGCACACAGTCTCAACTAAGAGAAAAAATGGTCATTATTATCATCATTTTTTGAAACAGGATATCCTCTAACTCTGTCTTCCTGCCTCATCCCTCTTGGGCGATGGGATTACAGGCTTGTGCCACCATGCTAGGAAGAGAAAATATCAGTACTAGGGATTCAACTCTCAGCAGCTTGCTCTCCCTTGGCTTTTTTTTTTTTTTTTTTTTGCTCTAAACTTGAGCCATGCTTCTTTTCCAGCTTTTTCCTAGTTAACTGGAGATAATTGTCCTTGTCTGCCTGAGCTGGCTTTGAACTTTAATCCTGAGATTTGAGCCTACTGGGTAGTTAGGATTACAGGTATGAGCCACCTGTGCCTGGCTGGCTTATGTTTTATGGGAAAACTTTTCTGTGGTCTGTCTTTTTAGTTGATTGCTATTGGAAACCATTCATGTTTGAAAAGACTGTCATTATTAGTGATCACAAAATGTTTAATATACACACCAATTAATAATAATTCTTTCTGGATTTAGCAGAATAGAAGATACTTCAGAGTCAAGCCCTGTAATTTGTGTCATTCTTTACTAAGTTTTAATGAAATTATTACTTTAATTTCACCATTTGTATTTTATCATATTTTATACTCTGCAGACTCAGAATACATTTACAATGTATAAGTAGTATATACTATAAACTAGGCAGGTAATTTTCAACCCAAGAAATGACCGGAGAAAGTTTCCCAACTAAGGTTAAAAAAAAAAAATCCAGTGGGCTGGGAAGATGGCTCAGTGGTAGAGCACTTGCCTTGCATTCATGAGGCCCTGGGTTCGATTCCTCAGCACCACATAAGCAAAAAGAAAAAAGCTGGAAGTGGCGCTGTGGCTCAAGTGTTAGAGCGCTAGCCTTGAGCTGAAGAGCTGAGGAATAGTGCCCAGGCCCAGAGTTTAGGCCCCATGACCGGACCCCCCCCCCCCCAAAAAAAAAAAAAAATCCAATCTAGAATCCAGCTGGGAGACTCACAGTTTACTCAATGTTCTATGTTGCATACAATGTCATACCTATTTTTCTTTTTCTTTTTTTTCTTTTTGGGTCCGGTTGTGGGGCTTGAACTCTGGGCCTGGGCGCTGTCCCTCAGCTCTTCAGCTCATAGCTAGCGCTCTACCACTATGAGCCACAGCGCCACTTCCGGCTTTTTGCTTTTTGCTTATGTGGTGCTGAGGAATCGAACCCAGGGCCTCATGCATGCAAGGCAAGCACTCTACCACTGAGCCACCTTCCCAGCCCCTGTCATACCTATTTTCTACTTTATCAAATTAATATTAATGAGCCAGATGTCAGTGGCTCACTCCAGTAACCCTACTGAACCAGGAGGCGAAGATCTGAAGTTCATGGTTCAAAGCCAGAGTGAGCAGGAAAGAGTGAGACTTAGCTCCAGTTAACTAGCAAAATGCCACAAGTGGAGCTGTGGCTCAAGTGGTAGAGCCTCAGCCTTAAGCATGAAAGAACTAAGGGACTGCCTCCAGGCCCTAAATTCAAGCCCCAGTAATGGCACACAAAAAAAGTTATATGAATGTTCTAAGTTATACTTAACATTAACTACTGGTTAATTACTGTCAGTCAATCTTCCCTTCACTTTAATTCCCCCCCTCTCTAGTTTCTTGGCACGTTGGACAAAATGGTGCTTCTTGAAGTGTTTAACACAAGTCACCTTGGATACAGCCTCAAAATGGGTTGATCAATTTCTGCCTTAGAATACAGCACATATGTATGTTGTGGATAAAACTACCAACAAACAAAACCCTACACTTAGAACCCCACAATCTGGAAATACAGGTTAGGTATTTTTATACATAGCTACTTGCCCTCTTTCAAGTTTTGATGTTTGTATTCCAAACAGAAGTCTTTTCATAAAATGACAAGATTTTTCACACTTTAGGTAACTAAATATAACCGAGGGAGAGTTCTAAGTAAAACCAGCAACTAAGAGTCCAAACTTTACACTTAAATATCCACTTGACAGAGGAAGAAAGAATTCAGAAGAAAATTGGAGAGAAAACTTACTCCAGGTTCATTAATTCAAAAACAAACTATCCATGTAAGATAAATTATAGTTGGAATTTTCATTTTTGACAAATATATAGTTGTTTTTTTTTAAAGAAAGCATTAGTTACTTTGACTATCCCTACCAGGAAAATCTATGATATTCTAATGACCCATGACATCCTAATGTAGGTCCCCCAAGGGTAGCATCAGTAGAAATGGAAAACTGATATTTACCATTGTGACAATTATTCACATGCAGGCTATCTAGGGGTATTAAACTCTCAGCATGCAGTATGATACTTAGTATAAAACAGTAGCTTCCTGTTTATGGAAGTGAACTGAACAGTCAGGTCATCTTTGACCATCGGCTCTCTCAATGCTCAAGACCACTTAATATCCTTATTCTTCAGTATGTTGAATGATTAATCCAAGAACTCAATAATCTATTTCCATAAATTTAGATGTTATCTTAAACACTTGTACTTTTTGGGCATGTTGGCCCATATTTTGCTTTAAAAAAAAAAGAAAAAAAAATCACACTCACAACTGGGCACCGGTAACTCACGCCTACAATCCTAGCTATTAAGGAGACTGAGATGTAAGGATTGCTGTCTGAAGCTATCCCAGGCAGCAAATTCCATGAAACTCTTATCTCCAATAAACTACTTAGAAAAAGCCAGAAATAGAGTGGTAGAGCTCTAGCCTTGAGCAAAAGAAGTCAGAAACAGCACCCAGACCTGAGTTCAAGCCCCAGGACTGGCAAAAAAGAAAACAAAACCCATGAAAATAAATAGTTTGAGAAGAGATCAGAAGTGATTCCCGGCCTGCATCTCAATACGCAGTGTCAGGTGTGCACTTCGGCTCTGCCTCTGTTCACGCATGGTGTGATTTTGAGCACACTGTTACCTCTCTCAGTCCCACTTTTCTGATCTATAAAGCAGGAAACCCCAGGGGAGATTTATCTGAATTAAATGATAATGAATGTAGCATCCTAGCTCCTGATATTAAGAATTCAATAAATGAAGGTTATTATTCATAACCCTTTAAAAAGTTGATATTTTACTGTCTTGATCAAAACCAATCTAATTAATACATGAATGGTTTTTTAATGAAAGAAAACCTACTAAAACATTGAAGATTGGATTTAGGTTTTATTCTTAGAAACAAGATAGAAGAAGCTGGATTTAAGAACTCCAAGCCTTCCCTAGATAGAATTAGCAATTGCATCTATGACAACCTTCTGTTCATACCTGTGGGACAAGAAGGATGCCTTATCTTACTTAATCTTTCAGTAGCACGTTTGTAGGACTTTGTGCTTAGATACATAGAAAGATGGGAATTCTAGGAAGATTGGGCAACTGGTTATGGTAGGACCATTATCTACCAGTAGATAAAATAACCGATTCTGTATAGAACTGGCGGAAGGCTTCAGAGAGGAAGCTGGGTGGGAAATTAAAGGAGGAAAAATGAGAACCCCTCTCTTGTTGGAGAAGGAGTTGGAATTCTAGAGTTTTTTCCTGAGTCTTAATTTTCTTGGGGGAAGAAGCTGACTTGTTATGATGATGATGGGTAAGCCAACTGGACCCTAATAATCAAGGTCTAAAGATAAACAATCTAAGGAAGGAGAAAAGAACTATTTAAAGACACACACACACACACACACACACACACACACACACACACACACACACACACAGCCGATCTGCTGTATATTCTTGAAAGTTAAGAGAGCTGAAGTGGTGTTTGTAACGTCATCAATGAAATTTTCTCCATAGCTCTTGGCATTCCCAGGGCAGAGCTAAGAAAAACCAATGGCTGGACTCCGTGTGTGTTTACCTAACATTCATCAGCTCAATAAAAAATAGAGAGACTCATTCATGACTTCAGTGAACTTTTTGGTACTTAGATGGAAAGTGAGATTTGGGCCTGACTTACCATTTTGCGTTTTCTCTGTTAACACTTAAGCCAGTGCCTGAGTAGAGAGTGGTAGGTTCTTCAGTCCCAAGGAGTTGGCTGGGGTCTAAGGCAGAGATGGGCTGGCCAGCTCCATTGCTGACCAGGACCACTGGTGTGTCTGAGGCAATAATGCACTGATCTTCAAGAGGCAGAGGGAGGGCCGGGGAGGAGGGTGGTGGAGTCACAGGAGGCAAAGGGCCGGTGGCCTTGGATTTGCCAGTAGCCTGCTCCTCAGCCTCAGGGACAGTCTGCTCAGGTTGGAGGCTCCCCACGCTGGTCTCTGCAGGGTCTCCTTTAAGATCAGATGGGCCAGGTATGGCGGCGTCTAAGGACAGTCTGGAGGCCGATGACTGCTTGCCAGTTTTTTTCTTGCCCTTTGCTGTTCCCACTGTCCCTGTTTTGCTAGCAACTGTCTCCTTGGAAGCTCTTGGTCGAGAAGAGGTGGATGAAGTGGACGGTGAAGCAGATGTTTTGGAACCAGTTGGTTTTTTCAAGTGAGAAGAGCCAGCTAAAACAGAGAGATGTTGCATTAAAGACCAAAGGATGCAATGCTTTTGAATGAAGTGACTAAACTGTAATCGCTCATGACATTTCAACTGTTCGCTTTCACATTTGGGAGAGCATCAGCTAATAATGCTATTGACCTGGTTTTCTGTCTCCCACCTACCCTGAATGTAGTATGGAACAAATGAAACGTAGAGAAAAACTAAGGGACAAGAGCCCCCCTTGCTCCTCTCTCCTGTCGTGTCTTAGGGAACAACCAAAAGGGAGCCCTCAGCTCTTTGTCCTATGGCCACCCAGAACAGCTCTTTACCTCTAAAAAAGAGGCACTGGGGTGTGAAGAGGACCGTCACCAGTGGTCAGCTGGGTCCACTGAGAGCCCAAGTGAGTCTCCACATTGACGGGTGTTCTGTAACGGAGTCAGATGCGTATTCGGAAGAAGCTGTGCTATGCCACCAGCTAGCCTTCTTCTAAGTCAAAAGCAAATTCACCATTTCAATAATCTACTAGGACAAGGCACTCAGGAAAGGTAAACCTCCTTCAAACCATCAAAAGGTAAGGAAAATAGTTTCAATTGTTTTGTTTTGGTCGGTCATGGGGCTTGAACTCTGAGCGCTGTCCCTCAGCTCTTCCGCTCAAGGCAAGCTGTCTACCACTTGGGCCACAGCACTCTTCCAGTTTTCTGGTGTTTAGTTTTGGAGATAAGAGTTTCACGGCCTTTCCTCCCTGGGCTGGCTTTGAACCATGATCCTCAGATCTCAGCCTCCTGAATAGGTAGGATTATAGGCGAGAGCCACCGGTACCTAGCCGGTTTCATTTGTTTTTACAAGAAGAATTTACATGGGTAGCATCTGAATAATTTGAAAGGAAAGAATATCACAATGAGAGCTTCTACAATATCTTTTTATGTGTGTGTATATATAGAATATATATTATAGTGATATAGTGCCAATCCTGGGGCTTAAACTCAGGGCCTGAGCACTGTCCCTGAGCTTTTTGTGCTCAAGGCCAGCTACTCTGCTACTTGAGCCACAGCACTTCTAACTTTCTGGAGGTTTATTGGAGATGAGAGTCTTACAGATTTTCTCCCTGGGCTGGGTTCTTCAGATCTCAGCCTCCTAAGTACTTAGGATTACAGGTGTTAGCCACTAGCATTCAGCTTTATTTATGTTTAAGACAAGGTCTCACTATATTGTCTAGGTTTGCCTGAAGTTCCTGGGGTCAAGTGATCGTTTTGCCTGAGCCTCCTGAGTAGCTGGTATCTATGTGTGCCAACTTACCTGCCTCTTCCCACAACTTCTGATGACAGAATTCATAAATAAATCTAATGATTCTTTTTGCTTGTGTTCAAAATGACTCTTTAAAGGATTGCCATGGTCTATTTGCTTACTTCTGGATAGCTCTGCCTTTCACTAAATTGTTTGTAGAAAAGCAAAGTCAATTATCTTCTTCATGTCATTCTAGGAAATATATTTGATGCTTATGAGAATATTCTTTTGTTTCATGGCCTCTATGATCTATAACTTCTTCTAGCTGCTCTCCTATTATAATGTTACATGTCTCTCTAACTTCATGAGGGATTATAGCATCTTTCATAGATAGATGCAATCTTAGGAAAGCTCTTGTTAGTATTGTGGTGACAAACCACATTGCACATTGATGCTACTAAACAGAACTCGAGTTATAACTACATTGAAGTCAACTGGGAGGGTCAAAGATGAAATCCAAACAAAGCGATAGTTAATTATGTATGTGTGTATATATATATATATATATATATATATGTATATATATATATGACTTCATTAGTTTTAGTATGTGATAGGAGTCAGTTTCATGTAGTGACAGGTCCAGGCTCAAAAAAATCTCTCTAGTGTGGGTTGTTTCTCTCTCTCTCTCTCTCTCATCTCTCTCTCTCTCTATATATATAATTTGTACATAATACACAATATAGAATTCTCCATCACCAAATCTGGACTTGGAATGACCCAAGTTCTTACCTTTCCTTGTGTACGAGACAAACTCACTAAGCATAGTTTTACATCTTAAGCCTATTTTAAACTAATTTTTTCCAACAGATTTTGTGCCTAAACATGCTCTACTGTTTACTTAGGTAAGTTTGATGGAATCTCTTCCGTCTATCAACACTAATAATATTCTAGTAAATTTTTAGAAAACTCTTTCATAAGATACATTTAATTTTACCCTGTCTTAAGAAATAAAATTATTATTTTTAATGTCTGGGAGACAAATGTAAGCCATATCATATTTTTTCATTAAGTATTTTTTCAGTATAACAGGCTTTGTTGGAATCAACTGTAATTGTTTTTAAAAAGTGCTGCCTCTCAGTTAATAACGAGAAAGAAAATAAACAAGGGAGATTAACCCTTAATTCCCTGCAAAGCAGAGAAGGTACAAATAGCTTACTGATAAGCAAGCAGCTGGTTATATGGCCACCCCATTAAATAATAGAGGGAGCATATCATGTGACAACTGTTGTTTAATAACTTAAAACATCAAATCAAAGGTTGAGAACCACATTTGACCTATTATATGAGGGTCAGCACTATTCAAACAATACAAAACTACCATGCAAAGAATTCTAAATGGTTACAAATGGAATATGAGCAGGAGTTGGAAGGAATATTACCAATATTTGATTTGAAAAGATCCTTAAGGAATGGCTTTGTTTCTCTGTCATAACCCTGGGAATAGTCACATTCTTATTTATACAAAGGCCTCCTCAGGCCTTTACATTTAATGTCATAGATACATGGAATGTAATATTCTCTTAGGAAAATCACAAGTCAATAAATAAATCTTCAAGTAAAATAGCAGCATTTTTTTTTCAGAGCTAGTGAGTGCTTAGTGAACTCCTACCATGTAATGAATGAGGGAGGAAGTGTGTGCAAGATGAGATCTTCATTCTCCACGGCAGAGTCACGGTCAGGCTTTTCTTTATGAAGGAGCTCATGGCCTGCCTCCCTTCAGGCATGGTGAGGCCATCAGGGAAACCCCCAGTAACAAGACTAGACTCAGACATGGGACGGCAGATAGTCCCCTAGGAAATGGCCCTTACGTATTCTCTGCACATCACCCTGAGATATTTCATATTAGGACTGTCTGGAAGAGACCAGACACTAAAGGTCCAAGATGGCAAGACAATGGCAGGGAGAGAAGTCTTTTTGCCTTTAGAGAGAGCTATTATTCTGTCCACTATTCCATGAATTTGAGTAGGATGGGTATACATTACAAGGGGGAACAAAAACTGATCAACATTAAGACAGATTCTAATAGGTCATTGCCAGAATATTGCTGAGGATGATGAGGAAAGTAAGACCTGCTGGAAGACAGAAGAGTTTTATGCACATGTTAATGGAGAAAAGCCTCAGATTATGTAAACTTTGGTTAATAGCCTTTGCAAAGCTAGATGGTATGGAAGTCATCTTTATTCCACTTTACTCAGGAATGGGAGCTCTACTCTGCATGGAGTAGGTTAGAGTTGAAAGGAAAGCTGGATCTACAAGACCAGATACTATTGTCTACTGGTCATCTATGGTAGCAACTTGTAAGTCTACCATACCAGGATATTTTGCCTTACAACTTTCAACTCCACTGGAATAGTTTTTACCGGAGTAAAAGGCAGTGAACGTTGAGCTGAATCAAATATATGAATCATTTGTCACTTACTGGAAAAGCGATCCAGCAACCATACCAGCTATATACATGGCATAGTCTAACAAGCCGATCTAAGGTATTTTAAACCAAACCCCACACCAATGAGAAACTTATACTCTTAGAAGACAGAAGGTCATTCACTATGTGCATAATGTCTATTTGTCCAGCATCATTCACAGGGAGCCAACTGGAGTGGGTCTCCCTGTGACTATTAATAGTGGATACCAACAAGAAGGAGGCATAGTTACCCCCAATCAAGGTGAACTAAGCACCTGGTTGACTGTCCTCTACAGACAGGTACAGTGAGGTTCCTGAGACATTCTCTGTCCATGTTGCATCCTTGGTTTTATATCCCGAGATGACAAAAGAACCACAATTTTCCCCTCCCGTAGCCCAGCACTCTGGACTCAATCCCACAATGCCCTGGAGACATACTCACCAGCCTCTCGGGTGGTGTTTCGGCCTGTTGGTTTGGGTGGAGGGACGGGGCCCTGCTTGCCAGGAGCCTTGGCATTTTTTTTACTGGGAGGCGCTTCATCACCTTTGTGGCTGACCCCGGCAGTGGCCCCTTTGGGGGGCACAGGTGACTTTTTGGGTTTAGGTTTGGGTTTAGGCTTAGGAGGAGCTGAAGGAGGTAGAGCAGGCGCTGTCGGTGTTTCAGAGTGGTTTTCAGTGTTCTCTACAAATGAGAAAGTGAACAGAGCAGACCGATACAGACACACATAAGCAGTAGGAGCAAGACATGGTGACAGCGGTACACACACTGGGCACCTTGGCACTTTGGAAGCACCATGGGGCAACTACACCAGACAGCACAAATCTGGAGGGTAAAAAATCAAAGTCTGAAAGATACATTGGGCATGTTCTCTGAGTACACCAACGATGCCTTTGGTAAAAGGCACCGTTCATGTTGATGAAGTTGAGGATAAACCCAAGTGTCCACAAGCCAGGGACCTCAATTCTAGCCTCCAATCTATGGTGGACAGAGGATCACTAAATTGAACAAAATTAGCATACTATTGTGTGTGTGTGTGTGTGTGTGTCTGAGAGAGAGAGAGAGAGAGAGAGAGAGAGAGAGAGAGAGAGAGGAGAGAGAGAGATTTGAACTCAGGGCAATGCACTTGCAAGAAAGGTGCTCTTCCACTTGAACCATTCCTCTAGCTCCAAATTAATAACATCTCAACTGAAGGATCTTTGAGAATGACAGGTGAGTACTTTGTACGTACCACCACTGGGGGTGAGGGCTGAGTGCCAATACAGTGACTGGACTCAATTTCCTCTGAGAACTCAAGAGTTCTGATCAACCTGGAAGGGCCTCCAGTGTAGTCTCACTATACCCGCCATGTTCTCAGCCATGGGAGACTCTGGAGGACAATGATATGAGACCTGTGCTCTGAACAGTGAACTGCTTTCCATGCAAGTTCACAAGCTTCCCCAACACACTAGGGCAGCTTCCTCTTCAACAATAACTTCTTCTGCCCTGTGAATCTGCAGCAGGACGATGGGCCAGGAGGGGCCCAATCCACGGGATATTTTGTTTTGTCATGGAAACATAAATAAATGACTTTGAAAAGACAAACGCTAAAATTCAGACAAGAAAATCACAAAGTGAAACACAGAGACCTTCCCTGGATTTTGGAGAAGTGGAGAAGTAATGTCAGAAAAAGTATTGAAAGTGGAAATGTATATGTTTCTTTGTACATTCACATCTGTATCTTTCTCAAAGGGATTGATTTTGTAATGAAAATAATTTTTATAAAATGGTTCTGGTGCATTTCTTTACAAAGGGAGGACAATTAACAACGTAAGACTGTGTTAAGACAAAATGCAACCTTCGATGGGAATACCTTTCCATTTGTGAATGAAAGGGCTTTAATAGAGGCGTGTTTCACATTTTATTACCATTTCTTTTGGTTTGTTTCTTATTCTAGTCAGGATGAAATAAGACTGTCCCCTTTTAAATCATACCGTCTATTAGTTCAGGCATGTATCTAAAACAATAATGATTTTAGTGACAAAAGCTAATCAATAAAATCAGTAAAACTCTCTCCCTCTCTGTCCCTTCCCTCCCACCCCTCCCCGCCTCTCTGCGTGGTGGTACTGTGGGTTGAACACAGGGACAGGGTCATGTCCTTGTTATGCAAGTGCTCCTCCACTTGACTTACACCTTTAGTCCCTTTTTTGATTTATGTTATTTTTCAATAGAAGCTTGAATTTTTTTTTCCAGGGTAGCTTCAGACTACAAGTCATCTATCTGCATCTTCTACGGAGTCCTGCGTTACCACATCTAGTCTGTGAATTAAGATGAAGTACCCCTAATATTCTGTACCCCCTCCTCACCCCGGCTCATCTCAAACTGCGATTCTCCTATCTCTCCCTCTGAAGAATCTGGGATTACAGGGATGTTCTAACATGTCTGGCTATGTCTTTTTACACTCTCCCTTTATCCTGGCTCAACTATAACCCTCCCTAGTTGTTATAGCTGAAATCAGCCTTTTGCACCTCTCTCTTTTTCTCTCTTTCTCTCTTCTTTCTTTCCATGGACCAGTTACTCAACATTGATGAGAGGCCGCTTTGTATTTTTGCCTTTCTAGTCACGTATCTTTTCTTCTACCTCAGTTGTCCTGGATCCTGTATAGTACAGCATTGCCTCCACCCCAACAGGTCTGAGTCAGGTTCTAATGGACATAAGTCTGTTAGGACCAAGAATGATCCAAGTTGGTACACAGCTAAAACATTACAGCCTCTGTTTTGAGACCTCAAATCATGCCTCACACGTGCTCAGGTTGGCATGGAACTCATGATCCTCCTACCTTAGCCTCCCCAGTGCAGAGATTATAGGTATATGCCACCATGCCTGGCTTAAAACATTTATTTCAATATGCAATATAACACACTAACTTTGTAGATTTTTTTTGCATAGGGAAGAAGTCGACTTTTTTAAAATACAATGTCTACAATGTTAGCCCCAGCACAATATCACACACAGAGACTAGGCTCAGTAATCCTATCATCCATCAGAATGACCAAGTGATCTGCACTGTGGGGTACGTGTGTTCTCCATTCTGCAAACGACGTCTGACTTCCCTTCCTTCCACAGCAGGCCGGCAAGTGATCCTTTCCTGGTCTGCTATGGGTTTTCACTTCTAAAACTATGCCTTGTAGATGGGCTGGTGAGAGAGTTCAGTGGCAAAGCATGTGCTGAGTGTCTGCATACACACCTGAGAGACTCAGGTTCAATCCCAGCATCACAAATAATAAAGCAATCCCTCCAGGAAGCAAACCTCTTGGTTGGGGAAGGAAGAGATGGGTGGCTTTGTGACAGCTGGCAATTTTCTCCCTAATGGAGAGAAAATGGACAAGCCCAACTCTGCTGATCCTTCAAAAACTTGGAGCTTGCTCTTTGCTCTCCCAACTCAGCCACTTATCACTGAGTGTCTTTCATTCTGGTGATTCCAAAGTTGTGTGTGTGTGCGTGCATGTGTGTGTGCGTGTGCGTGTGTGTGTGTGTGTGTGTGTGTGTGTGTGTACATGTGAATATACAGAGATTATGTTTTCTGAATAACTTAAAATGCCTTCAGTTTGAAACTGTTATGTATTTAAATATTCAGACAGTATCACTATGTAGCTCAGATTGGTCGGGAATGATCCTCCTGCCTCAAACCTCCCAAGTGCTAGGATTACAGGTATACACCACACAACTGGCTGTCTGACATTTATATCCCATCCAACACAGTGCTCTAAAATATAGGTCTGTTCCATAAGTGTTATACACTGGTTGATATACAATCAATAGAAGACAGACTCTTCTGTCGTATTTGGGAGGTAATGACTTAAGATGTGTGGTTGGTTTCTTTTTCCTTTTTTTTTTTTACTATTATGATAGGATTTGATGACATGAAAAAAATGATGCAGAGGAGAGTATTATCTTCCCCAGAGGAGGTTAGGAAGGAGGCATCTGCTCACTTTGGTTATGCTGGCACACAAGATTTCACAATGCCACAGTTGGGAAAACAAGCTGTCTGCTTCCAGGCATGGCTTCTGCTGCCACATGCGGTGTGAGTCCAACTATCCCTACAGCCAGCCCCAAACTGCATGCATTCTGCACCTGGTCATCTCCCATACCTGACTAGCTTCCTGTCTCCTCCAGGTCTTAGTTTACGCAGAGAAACAATCCTGGTCTCTGCTCTGGGTTCTCTGGTCTCTCTCAAGACCCTCATCCATTATATTTTGCATCTTGTACTGCAACTGCCTGTGTGCACTCTGGCCTCCTCTTAGGCTACTGATTGATTCTCATTCTCCAGTCCTTTTCTAGCCTCCACCAGGGTCTTATCCATGATGGCCCCTCATTATTGTAGAACAAGGTAAGTGTGCCTCACTGTTGCCTTGTTGAATAACCTTCATAAAAATTCAATAGAAATAATGTTAAACAATTTTAAGATTTCTCATAAACTACTATATGTAACATAGTGCAGATTATGGAAGAAGTCTCCAGTATTAGCAGAGGAGGCCCAGAACTGCTGTACTAACTACATAGTCAGATACCTTGGGAAGCCCAGCAAGAGCTTTGTGGACTGCATAGAACTGAGCCACAGGTTAAATGTGAAGGCCATATGCTTTGCTTTCCTCAACACTGATGGTTCCAATATTAAAGTATTGAGATACTGTTTTACAAAGAGATATGACAAGCAAGCACCCTAGGACTTTCAAGGCCTATGGTATGGTTTTTAAAAAACAGCCTATCAGTAGAGGAAATGATGCCATGAGTAAGCTGCCTTTATGCTGAGGGAACATTAAACCCCAGAATTACGATTAAGCACCTGGGATGGTGGGCTGCAATGGAAAGGAACTCAGACAAGGAGTGAGACCAAATGAGGAGGACAGGCCAACTCAATCAGGTTAGTTTTCAGAATCCAATTGGGCCTTACTAGAGAAATCAAACCATTATCCTTATTCATAGGGCATTTTCTATGGAACAAAATGTTTTGCAGTATTAGTTATGAGTGACATTCTTTTTAGACTCAGGAAGTGGTTCCCAAACCTAATGCTTCCTTTTGTTATCAGCATGGCCTTGCGTGAGCTCTGTCCAGAAGGAGCTTTGTTGACAGCATTTGTGCATCTCCCTCTCCTGACACTCTCTAACTCACCAAGAACAGAAACTCCGAACAAACGAGTCAACTTATGAGACCTGTTGTCATCTTCTTTTTAAAATATGAACCTATCAGAAACATTTTATTTGCTTGACAAAGCCAACACTTCCTCTGATGTCTGCCCAGTCAGTGGGTGACAATGCTAGCCACACAGACCAGGGGCAACCGACAGATGATGGATCTGAAAGTTAACAGTTCAAACAGGACAGCTGAACTTAAAAACACACAAACAAAAAACCCCAAACCAAAAAGATGTCACCAATTGCATTAATATTTTCAACTGAAGCCCTTTAAAATTCAAGTGTACTTTCTGTTACGTCTCAGAAATATCATTAAAAGTATTATGTTCTTACAATCATTGTTATATGTGGAGGGCCTGCCAATATTATTCTTAATATTTGATGAAAATAAAATGATACATTTCTCAACAGATGATTAACCTAGATTTCTAATACTTTTAAAGGTTTCTTTATATGCATAGAATTAAAAGTGGTTGTGGACTTAGTCAGAAAAGATGATTTTAGTTACTAGGTCTGCTTAATAAAAGCCATCAAAGTTCCCCATCTTGAGAGGATTTGGGTCAAGAATGGAGGAAGAGAACTTCACTTTCAGTCATTTCCAGCAGTTCTCAATATGTCTATGGAACCCAAATAAAGTTTCATGAAAATTTTGCCATCCAACTCAGAAGTGGGCTTTGTAGAACAGAAAACAATCTCTTTCCTGAGCTTTCCTTTCTATCCTTCATAGAGTCATCTAGAAACTTGTAGAGAAATCTCTCCCTGTGGGGTTGCCATTGAAGATATGCACAAAGATGAGGCTTGGTGGGCTGCCTGCCTGTAGTAACAGTGGTATCTATAATCCAAGAGTCTGGAATTTATGGATGCTGGGGGTGTCTGAATCTATGGTAGCATATTCAGCCTGGAGTCAAGGTCTCTTTTTTAAGTCTTCCAATATGATCTGGGCACATTTTGAAATTTCCAAATCACAGAAAGATCCTGAAGCAGAGGCTGCGGCATCTCTAGGAATTAACTCTTTCTAGGTCTCTCGTAGAAACATCTAGAACCTATAATATTGGGTGTGTGGATTTCATCTGTCCAGTCTCATGACTAGAGAAGGAGTTCTGGGCTGAAAGACCCATTTGAGCCTTGGTATTAGCCTGCATTGAGCTGCTCACCAAGGGCCAGTTGGAACCAGCTAAGAAAGTTGTTCCAACGTTTTACTTTTTTAAGATCTTGAGGAAAAAGCTACGAAGAAAAGAGGATATTAGTAGACACCTCTTATATTTCAAGAGCCTGCTTGCTCAAATTATTACCTTTAATCCTCTAATAAAAAAAGCTAACGCTGCGCTTATAAAATGGACACATCCTCTTGAGGAATTCATCCTATTTCTTTTCCTAGTTATCAATTCTGTCTTTTTGGCACCTTCAAACTTCCTCATTGTAAACTAATGATTTAGACTCACTATTGGACGCCTAAGGGCCAGGTTCTTGACATTGATCTGTACTAAAGGAAATAATAATATGTGTTTCTCTTTATTTTACCTTTCTTATCTTCTGCCCTTTCTTCCCGAGGTGGTGTTTTCTCAGACACAGAGCCATTACCTTCTTCAGACTTCCCTACATTTTCCTCTCGGGTAGCTTCCTCTCCGATGGGTATCATGTGCCCGTTTGAATTTTCAAAGTTAACTGTTACATCTCCATCTAAAATGGGAAAGAAACACCTAGATGTCTAACTTGATGGCTTTCTTAAAAATCAGTTCCCCACTTAGAGACTATAGATCTGGGTGTGTGTTTCTGTCCCTGGGCACCAGATCACCATGGTTTTAACCAAATGATTTCTTTAAAATCAAAGAGCCAGAAATCATTTAGTCTTGAGAAAAAACAGGCATGAAGGGAACATCCACATGCCAGTTCCAGACAGGAGGAATGAGTTTCTTCATTATGCAAAGCCCCAAGGTAGCACAGTCCCTCTGGTTCTTGGGCTACAGTCTGGTTGAAGTCAATAGTTATGTGTGTCTTTGTCATCCATATACTAAGTGGCAAAAAGAACAATCTGGAATATGGAATAAACATCTTAACATGTACCGAAAACACAAAGCGAATGCAAATACACAAATATAACATGAAAGCAATTACATGTGAAAGAACAGAAACGTTCCCAAGCACTACTATCTGCAGAGTATCTTACATCTACATGTGTTAATTACACAGGAACATAACGGCTACTCTGTGTTCTGGGGAAAGGTGGTACCAAGCTAATTTTGTTTTTATTTTCTTGACTATAGAAAGATTAAAACATCCAAAAATTAGAAAACACTCAGGAAAATATGCATAAAACTTAATTATGGAGGATTTTGACAGAGCTGAAAATAAACTTTATATGATATTATCTAAATCATAAATAACTAATTTTAATGCCTGAATTTCCAGAATTTCTGAAGGTTTCCAAAATAAAAGTGACTGCATTCATTTATGCTTGAAATGATTACCTCTGGTTCATATACAGAAGGATTTTTGAGGTTTAACTACTATTATAAAACAAAAATTAACTCAATAAACATGAAAGAATACATGATTTGAGGTGTTTATTTGCACTTTTTGATTAATAATTTGGGTAATCATTAGAAAACAGAGACTATGTCTCACATTATTGTTGCTTTCATTCATCAACAAAATGCACTAGCCTTCTCTAAAAAGCAGACTTAACATAGAGAATTGAGACAAGTATAGAATTATATCCTGTTCAAAATAAAAAAGAATTGTTGCTTAGTGATATAATTCCTAAGAACCTGTAATTCGATTCCTACATAAATTTAAGATAGAAAAAAACTGAAAGCAATGCCACAGCAAATAAGTACTAATTATTTCAATAAAATTAAGGTAAGAATTACTGGGTGTCAAGCAATTAGCATAAAAGGGAAGAGTCACAGATAAAATAAAAATAATGTAAAAACAAATAATTCCAAGCAAAGTAAAAATAAAAAAATCATTTCTTTGTATAAAACTCCTTAGGTTTTAGATAACTCTGTTGTGTTTGACTTTAGTTGGCAATAAACTCATATTAAAGTAGTATTAATGGCAGCTTACTTCTATTTTAAGTAATTACATTAAAATCTTTGCTTGCTTAAATTAATTTTTTTAAAATCTGAATAAAAAAGCTAAGGAGAAAATTACGTAGTGTCATAGAGAAAAAATGAATTTTAGAATGACAGAAATAATGAATTAGGTAGAAATAATATTTACTCTGAGGCATAAAAAAGAGATAGGTCTGTAATAAATATGGAATTCAAGGGAAGAAAACAAAAAAATTGAACATATTAAGTAAAAAGTGCATGTGGTGAAAGTGTTTGTAGTACTGGGTGATAAGAAAATTGTTTCAGAATTAAAATAAGTTAAAACCTTCTATGCATGGGCTACATAACCCAAATATCAGCAGAGTAAAGGAAGACCTGGGAAGGTACTTGAGCCAGTCCCAGGTTAGAGTCAAGAGGTAACATTTGTACACAAAGGACTGAGACCTCAGAAAGTCATAGTAAGCTTAAAGTAAAATGAGAGACAATGCACAGGCAGAAGTAATTGGTTACATCATAGCACAGGGGTACCAGGAGGGACATACCTCTTTCTGGTAAACAAGGATGTAAGGAACGGAAGTAAAAACAAAAACAAACAAAAAAACTCAAAAAGTGAGAAACAAAAAGGCACAGCTAGAAGGAGGAAATCATGTATGAGCACAGGGAAGTGACTCATTAGGAGGTTAAAACTGTACCATGAGAAAAGAAAGGAAGCTGGCAGGCCAATAGGAAATCCTCATGCCCTCGTGTTCAAACTACAAGAAAAGATGGAAGGAAAAAACCAGAGATAAATACCGAACCTGGGCTACATCATGTATGGACTTCTCAGGAGAAGTCAACTGCAGAACTTTTAAATTGAAGTGAGAATTTGGTGCAAAATAAAGAATGAAGAAGAATCTGAAAGGAAAAATAATAGCTGTAGTGAGGTATGGATGGACTGAAGTTAAAACCAGGGCAGCAAAAGGGATCGAAAAAGTCCATCCGGCCCCATGTAATAAAGGGCAGAACTGACAAGCACTGTCAAGAGCTACCAGAAGGTCGAGAAGGTCAAAGCCAAGAATGAATCTTCCCGGCAGAAACAGAGGTGGCTGTCACCAAAAAATAGCAGCTTCCATCCAGTCTTATAGACTAAAGTTTTCAGGGTAATTGTCTTTGAGTCAATGACAGAAAACCAATTTTCTCCATCCTCTGACTGAAAATGAGAAGGGTTCTGTTTATAACTGGCATCTTGGGACACCTTCAACCTGTAGTTAACTTTTATTGTTCTATATGTGGACCTTGTAAAACAACAACAACAACAATAACAACAAAGAAGGTGGAGAGTAAAACTCAATAGGTTAGGTCTTCTCAAACATGAAGCCTATTGGATTATGGGTAAGTTCTTTTTTTTAAGTTATTGCCTTTGAGTGGTTGTATAATAGAGTTGCTATTCAACAAAGCAGTTTCTGAGTATAATGTATCTTGATCAATGCCATCCCTTTTAGGTTCTTTAATGTTTTAAAATGAACACTCAGCCATGAAAGATTTTTTTTTTTTTTTAGAAAAGGTCAAATAGAGTCAGATCTCTGGGAAATAAGTATATGTTAGCCTCAGAATCATTAACTAGGAGGCAAATTGCTGAACAGATTGGGCAGAATAAAAAGCAAGTTGTGTTAACAATTTCCTTAAATTGAGTACCGCTACATACATTTAGAAAAAGTAAACTCTTTTTCTATCTCTAATTTGTTTTTTTAATTGTTAGTATTGATTAAACTCAGAGCTTTGTACCTGCTAGTCAGGCATTCACTCTTATCATTGAGCTATATTCCTGGTCATTTCTTCTGTTTTGTTTTGTGATTTTTAGACACGGTCTCGCTAGGTAGTTCAAAGTGATGAACTTCTTATGGAGCTGAAGCTGGCTTTCAACTCCAGATCCTTCTGTGTTTGCCTCCTGAGGCCTGGGATTACATATGTGTGCACCATGACACTTGGTACCCTATGTTTTCAGAAGCAGAAGTAAGACTATAGCATTTTCGAGCTCCACTCTGTGATTGTTCAGATTTTGGAAGAACTGTGTCAGTTTCACTTATAAATAGTCAATGCAAAACCAAACCAACCAAAGCAAACAAACGAACAAAAAAACCCAGGATGGGAATGTGGCTTAGTGGTAAAATGCTTGCCTAGCATGCATGAAGCCCCGGGTTTGATTCCTCAGTACCACATACACAGAAAAAGCTGGAAGTGGTGCTGTGGCTCCAGTGGTAGAGTGCTAGCCTTGAGCAAAAGAAGCACAGGGACAATGTCCAGGCCCTAAGTTCAAGCTCTGGGACTGGCCAAAAATTAAAAAAAAACAAAAAAAACCTAACAAAACAGAAAACAATAGTCAAGTTCTTTCCAAGGAATATATACCAAGAAGAGGTAACATTTTATTACAAATTAAGGTCTTATTGAAGGAAAGAAAGGACTAAGATAAATCAACAGTGTTGCGGTAAAAATGCCTTTTAACAGCAGTGGGAACAGAGAAAATAGGTTGATTATTAGTTATTTGGAGAAATAACCAATGTTGGTGTCTTCTTTTGAGCCACTATCTCAGTCTTATTTGAGTTAAGATGGAAGAAGAAAAGCACAAGAATAGAGCAAAGAAAAAAAATAGATAATGTAACAAAGTATAAAAAGTGCCTAGAGTTCAGAGAAATGAAAAAAGGACTATACAAGAAAAGCAAAAGCATTTGAGAGTAAGCACTAAACAGGCTAATTTGCCCATTCCTGCTTTATTGATAGTATCTCAATAAAAAGTGAAAAGGACATGATGGACGTTTCTCATTTCTTTCACTGCTGTTCTTAAGAAACAAACACGGTATTAGTAAGCTAAAACTCTGTTAAAACTCCAACAAGCACCTGTAAAGATGAAAGAATTAGAGAAGGAAAGGAGCGATGCAAGCATTTGTATCTTTACCCTTATCTCTAGCCACTTGTTTTCCTGTGTAGACTTTCATGTTTTAGAGTGAACTCTGGAGAAGCAATCACCAGAAAATCCTCTGAACTTCTTTTCAATAATAGCTCAGATACTCTAAAAGAGAGATTCTTGGCTATTTTCCTGAAAAAAGGCCCCATGTGATCATCTTAAATTTCAAAAGAAAACGAAAGAATGACCAAAAATGAAGGATCAAGTTATTTGAAATGTATGATTAATTTCCTCACCTTGATCAGGCAATTCCTTAAGCACGCCCCTTCTTATCAGCTCCTCTCTACTTTGTCTTGTGGAAATCTTCCTCTCTAATACTTTTAAAAAGAATAAGCACAAGTAAGAATCAAGTCATCGCTTCAAATAATTAAGAACAATATTCCAAACAGATTTGGGCACACCCATTCTGTGTACAAGAGGGCTCAAGCCTCAACTTACTTTGTAGCATCCTAAAACACACAATTGGAGTCAAACCAACATAGGTGGGCCATGGACAAATCACTGCAACTGGTGATCGGAAGTCCAGCCATCATCCCTGGTCTTTCAAACTATAATCTCTGGCCAAGAACCCAGATACATTATTCCATACCAATCATAGAGTACTGAGATAACATCTCACTCTGAAATATTCCTTTCTCTAATAGTGACATTAAATAAAAGCACATGCTGACAAATGTGTCTGCAGTATGATATGCAGTATATGTACATTACATGTAAATTTACATTTAAAAAACAAACCCAAAACAATCCACACATTTCCAACAAACATTTCATCTGAATCTGGGTGAGAAGGGACTATTGTTGCTAGTATTTTCTCTGGCACAGCATCTGGTATAAAAGTCTAACACATGAGATTTCTGTAAGTCTTTTCTTTCCCATACTTACAAGTTCCAGGAGGTTCTGGAATAGCCCCTGATAAACTCAAGTCCTAGGCGAATGGAAGAGAGTTAAGAATGGGCAGCTTTCCCAGGCTTGTCAAGGAATGAAGAACCTCACCCTGATTCTTCCTGCTTCTGGAAGAAATCTATGTTCTTGATACAATGTCAGAATGGTGCTTAATGTTCAGTTTTCCTTGAATACAGCTTGCCTGTGAAATCATCAGCTTTGTCTTCTACTCTTGGAGATTTTGTGAAAATCCCACACATGATTATGTTACTTACTAATCCTCTGAGTAGACCAGTTCTAAAGTGTGTCCTGCAGAACTCTCTGTGGTGGGTAAGGGCCAGAGAAGGGGTCCAGAGCATATAGAAGAGAAAGAAAGGTACCCCCTGGTGAGGCAGGGGCAGTCAGATCAGGCCTGGATTTCTGAATCTCCCATTTACAATGCCTCTCCTGGTCCCATGGTCTGCAAATCCAGTAGCACTCTCAACATCATGGCCAAATGAGTGCCCATGACCCCAACCCATGCCTGGACACACTCAAAGGGAACACAAGTGCACACGGAGAACATGGTTTCTCCTGTGCTCGAGGGGGGGTCTAACACAAGGCCATCAAGAGAGAGGAGAGGAGGATATGCCCTGGGCATTGAGCTTGATATCAAAGACATGAAAGTCTTCTGTAAGTGTTTACTTATGGCATGAACCCCAGAATACCAACATTGAATCTCACGTGAAGAAATTGGCTTTCTCTTTTCTGATGACTAGAAACTGAGTGTGCATGTGTGCACGTGTGTGCACGTGTGTGAGTTTTGACTCATTTCTAAAGTCAGAATGATACCAGAAGCCATGAAAACTGTACTAATATATTACCCCAAGAGCCACAGAAAACAGATGCCAACTGTTAAAAAAAAGCTGAAACAAGTTGATACTTAACACAGATTTCTTATGAAATTTCTTTTTCCTGCGTAACCTGGTGTCGTGTGTGTATGTATATGTGTATATGTCTAATATATATACAAGCGGTTTCAATTTAACAAGTCAGATTATGAGTACAGTCACCTTGATCAATATCACCCCTTCCAACATTGCCCCCACATCACTTATATTTTATGTAGAGTGTGTAAGTATGTTGTTGTATGTTCGGTCAAACATATTTTGGGTAGATTTAGAATATAAACAAGAAAGTGAGTTAATAAGTGATCAAAATCATGGCAGCAAGCACTATGTGGGTGTAATGGTTGTACCCACAGAAGTCTCCTCTCCTTTCTCTTGGTCACTCGCCCACCCTGCTCTCCACTCTCCCTCCTAGAAGTAGATGTTCACAGACCACCTAGAGGCTGATGATGTCAATGGACACCACCAGGAGCCAAGAGTTCCTCCATGATACTTCTTTCCTATGGAGTGTTATTGTTCAAAGTAAGTTTCAGACACTTGCCATTCACACAGGGAGTCAAGCGCCAGCACCCAGATGTCCCAGGTGCTTCACAAACACCCTGGGCACTGATGCCTCCCAGAGATTGTCCTGACCTACTCAGGCTTCATTGTCCTGGTCTCTGTGCCTGGGTTTAGACCCAGAGGCTCCCAGCTGTTCTGCCCTGAGCTTGATTGAGGCAGAGGCAGCAATGCAACCGGAAGTGAGTGCTGCTGGTCCTGAGGATGTGGTTACCTTCTGGAAACTGAAACACATAGCCGGTTCCCAATGCAATCACTCTGGCTGTCGCTCCTACCTTTATTCAGCCTTTGCTCATATAAAACACAACTTTATATTGTTTGCTACATCTCTCGAGTTGTCTGACACAACATGGTTGCTTGACACAAGATGGTTGACCGGAGTCCTGGATTGCTAGTTCTAGATGTCCTGTGACAAGGTGGGTCACCTTGGTTAGGTCACATCAAGTTTCTGGGCCTCTTAAACATTGGTCTGTACAACGAAGGCAAGCCATACTGCTCACTAAGAACTATCTAACCTGGGCAAACCATGAGTGAACCTGTATCATGAATGAAAACGTCAGTAATTCCTGCTTTGGGAAAGTCTCAAAACTCTCATTCTTACAGTAAAAACTCAAGAGCTTAGGGCATATCCACTTAGGTTACTGCTTTTCCATGACGGACCCCACAGCATTCATTAGTCTGAGTTTTAAATTTCTGTTGCTTTCCTTCTAACTTAATCACAGCTAAAAATTCTTTTTCCTTGAAAACTGCAAGACCTTTGAAGGGGCCGTGGCACTGGATTCCCGCCAATAATCCAAAGCAACAGCTTTGTGGTTTTACGCTGCCTCCTCTACATGGGCCCTGATAGGAAAATGCCATTGGCTATTTGTTTGGTCTTTGGCTGAGAGCATTTTTAACACATAATGCAGATAACTGTGTACAGAGCCAATGAGAGCAAACGGCAGGCTGCTGAGCATGGAAGGTATGTGGCTGGGCACAAAATGCCAACCCCTGCTCTCAAGTACAAGTATCTCATTCTCCACCTTTTAAAATATTTGCCTCCTGTTTATATAGCGTCTGTGTGTTTGCGGAGCACATTCACTGGACACCTTTACACAGGCTCAGAGGGCTTCTGCGCCAGAATGAATCTGAGGGGTCATTCTAGTTCAGCAGGATCCTGGAACATTCCTGATGCGTGCTCACCTGCTCTCAAACCTCTGGAAGGAGAAGGCTTTCCTGCCTGCAGGGCCTACTTCAGCCAGCGATCAGCCCCGTGCTTAGGGAGGTATTATTCAGACAGCATTCAGCTCTCATTGCCGGAGACTTCCACATATCAAGCCCAAACTGACCATGGCTTTAACCTACAGGATGTGATGTATGAGGAGAATGCAGCTGGAATCTGCTCCGTGGACTCAAGGGGAGCAAAAAGGTGACTGCAGCCCCCAGGATCCTGTCAGCTGCTCCTTGGCTTTGAAGCTTATAGCCATCTATACAATCACCTCAATGACACTGAGGGAGGGCTGAAGTATATTGCCAGGGAAGAGACTTGTGGGAGGCAGGTCACCAAAGGCAGTAGCTAGGTAAGATGTACGGTCATTGGTTAGTTCAATAAACAGCTCATGGGCTGGAAGTTGGCTCAGTGGTAGAGCGTTTGCCTCGCATGCCTGAGGCCCTGGGTTCAATTCCCCAGCACCACATAAGCAAAAAGAAAAAACCTGGAAGTGGCACTATGGCTCAAGTGGTAGAGTGCTAGCCTTGAGCTGAAGAGCTGAGGGACAGCGCCCAGGCCCAGAGTTCAGGCCCCACGACCGGAACCTAAAACAATAAAAATAAAAATAAACAGCTCATGATTAAGATCTTTTATCCTAACTGAAAATACAGGAGTGATTCTGACATCCAGACAAAGCAAAACCACGATTTCTGTATCATGCCACTGGGTGAACTAACTGGTATTTCCATCCTGATGACAACAGTACCCATCCTAATTGTCTCTAGGAAGTAAAGAAAGCCTGTCCCAGGTTCTCCTGACTGCATGCTTATACTTTTTCCAGTATTGAATTCATGCTTATACTCTTTCAAGTATTTCTTAAAAAGGATTAGTCTTTCAGAAACTTTCAATGGCTATCCATCTCATTTTGAATCGTATCTCAGATCTTCAGGGATCTCTAAGTTGTCCCTCCACCCTACCGCTGCAAGAGTGTTCCTTCTCCCACCTCCCCAATCCTCTCATCCTAACTCCCTCTCGCTCTCCCTCCCCCCCCTCCTCCAGCCCCTGGACTCCCTGATGTGCCCCCCTCCTACCGCAAACCTTGTTCTTGAGGCATGGACTTCATGGTAGCCGTTTCCAAGCTTGGCTCATTCCATTCTGTCCTCTCTGAGTTCTGCTCAAAGATTAGAAATCCCTTCCATGCATAGGTGATAGAGATCAGCTTGAGCCCCTTTTCCTTTTTTTTTTTTGGTCAGTCATGGGCTTGAACTCAGGGCCTAGGCGCTGTCACTGAGCTTTTTTGCTCAAGGCTAGCATTCAACCACATTGAGCCACAACTCTACTTTTTGGTGTGGGGGGTGGTTAATTGAAGATAAGAGTCTTAGAGACTTTTCTGCTTGGGCTGGCTTCAAATGGTGATCCTCAAATCTCAGTCTCCTGAATAACTAGGATTACAGGCGTGACATGAGTAAGTATAATCTCAGAAAGAACCCCCCTTTTTAAAAACTGCTATGTTCCCAGGGTGACTTTCAGGCCACTGGTACTCATATGTAGTGCTTGAGTAAGTGGATAAAAGAAAATAGGCTACTCATTATAACATTCTTATTTTCTACCTCTTCCTAGCCTCCAAATTTAGGAGAAAGCAAGGGAGGTTTGTGGCAAAGGCTTAAGGAACAGGAATTTTCTGTCTCCTCCCTTCTTTACTCTTTGGCTGGGCCAGACTAAGGAAAAATTCTCAGCTTTTGGTCCTATGGATTATCTGAAAAAGGCTCTGTATGCATGAAGAAGGGAGCCCATAGTG